TCAGGGTGTCGAAAGGATGCACTCGCCAGTGGTTTACTGCGCCCCTTCAGTGGTAAACCACTTCCAGGCTCACAGACCTTCTCCAGTTCAGGCCGAAACCATCCCTGGCCTCCAATCCCTTTCGGGAGAGAAGAAACGAGTAATCCGGGAAGAACCCGAATTATCGCCAGAAAGTCGAGAGGGCGCCGCACAGCCCGCTCCCATACGGTCATCGCGGCGGGACCACCTGGCATATTGCCAACCCCATTACACCACATAATTAAATCCTCGAAACTGCACCTAGAGAATGGAATTCTCTAGGAAAGTTTCGACAGTGATCAAAAATTCTATCTGTCAAAGAATAAAGCTGTCACTGTCACTGAATGCGCCGAACCGGGATTGTCAATCAAAGTAAAAAGCTCGTCAGATTTATTCCAAGGGTCTGCAAGGTCGAAAATGAAAAAAAGGGAGATTAAATGGGGACCCGGTCAACGGTATTTATGCACAGGGGGGAACGGTGGCTCGGCTTATTTATTCTCCGTCCAGGATTCGTCATCAACCTGAAAATGAGGAAATTAGGGGACTTCCATAAGTACATCAATGCCTGCAAAAATAGTCTGAAAAAAATTTTTCTCGAATTTATATATCATTCTCAAATTGTTGACTTAAGAACAAGCTGATACTCATAAAATTCAAATTAATATAAAATTCAATTCAATGAACTTTCTGAACTAACCTCCTCCAAATCCTCGGCCTCCTCATCCTCAACTTCATCATCAACTTCAACCGTCTCAGGGACAAGGTAATATTGCAGAGGGTTCGGCCAAATATCGTCCTTGATCACCTCGGCAATATCATCGGCTGCCGGCTCGAGGTTCGTGTCCAACCACGCGAAGAATGTGAATGGGGCATTGCGATCGGAACTCTACAAAAAAACACCATTTACCTCTAAATAGCACGTCTCTGTCAATTTTTTGTCCAATCTCACCTTTCCAAGCTTCTTCCCCTCCTTCCAGCGGATCTGGGTGATCTTGCAACCCGGCTCGTCGCCACCCAAGAAATATTCACGGGTCATCGAGTCATTTTCGAAATATTCATTCTCCTTCCACCGGAAAGTGATTTTGTAGCCGCTTTTGATATCGTCGGCCTCGTCAATCTAAGCAAGGTGGTTTCATAGGCTTAGGGCTTTGGCTTCGGCTTAGCCTTAAGTTTACCATTAGGTTTGGGCTTGGTCCGGCTTAGGCTTAGGTTTGGGGTTTAGCCGTAAGCTTAGGTTTTTAGGCTTAGGTTTAGGCTTAGGCTTGTTGTGAAGTCCTACCAACCTCAATAGCAGCTAGAGACATCAGTGCATCTTCCTCGTCCTCGGCGACCAGGGCAGCGATTTGGGGATGGTTGAGGAGCTAAACCACGATCAGTTTGTATGGAAATTCTTTTTTTTATTTTTATGAAGTAAATCAATTAATAATTTTGATCAATCAATTAAAAACATTTGATCATTTGTTGAAAACTCACCGCCATCGGCCAGAATTGGGGGAATTCCTTGAGGAGCTTTGTCCTCTTTTCCATATGGGGCCGGCGGAGCTGATTGTATTTTTGCTCGATCTGAAATTGTATTTAAGGGCGTCAGAACCGATTAGCATACCTTGATGACTTCCTCGGACGCCTGCTCATTGAGGTTGTCGACGTGGCTCTGGATCTCGTCGATCTGCTTGATCATGCGCCGCTTCTCCTCGGGAGCCTGGTTCAGCAGGTAGTCGACTTCGAGACGGGCACGCTTCTCCTCCGGCTCACCCATTCTGACGAGGTTCCCTAAGGGTATAAATTATTTTAATAGGATTTTTGGTCAAAGGAACAAATTTATGAAGCCAAAAATTACTGGAACTTTTTGAGATAGGGATGGAAAACCTTTTTTTTGGTCATTTTCATTTACCTGTTAAATTTTTCGCAGCCAATCAAGTGCAATACTCAACTCCCAAGCTAAGCTAATACGTCGAATATCAACGAAACTAAGCTTAAGTTAAGCTGACGAAGCCAAGGGCCGTGGAACTCTGAGAAACTTAAGCTAAGCCGGAGTTAACTTAAGTGAGGGCCGAGCTACTGAGCCCACGCTAATCCAGTCTTAACCTAACCCCAAGCCCAAGGAACGCTAATACCAAGCCAAACTAACAAGGAGACGTTTTTTAGTGTGAATGGAGTTTTTAGTTGAAACCAGGCCTATTTTGTGCAGAGTTTTGCGCTGATTCCGAAACTGTCTTCCATTTCTGCTAAATAGCTCGATTTAAAAAGTTACAGCCATTTTAAGGTCATTTTAGTCCAAATTTTCCCATCTTTAAAGCCCATTATGTTGCTTTTCCCGGCTGATTTTCCAAAAATAAGTTTTGTCATCGTATTCAGAAATTTTTTCTCTATTAAATAAGCCCCTTAACTCAAAATTGTCAAAAAATGAAAAATTTGACGATACTTGGTATGGACCAGGCATGGAAAATTCGGTCGGCCCGGCCGATCGGCCGGGCCGAAAGCCGACTAAATCGGCCACTTCCGGGCCGATTTTCCTATGCTAATTTTTTCGGCCCGGCCGATCGGCTCGGCCGACTTTTGGGTGAATCGGCCGGGCCGATTCGGCCCGGCCGACCATTTATGTCAAAATTAAAAAAAAAACCCGTAAATCAGTGGGTCCACAAGTAGATGACCACGAATCTCGACCATCAGTTTTCGCCTTTAGAAGCCAATCAGCTCGCTATTCATTTTAAGGTTTTTTGTTAACATTCATTCAAGGTTTTTCAGGTCTACGAACGATTTCGTGACGTTTTACTGTAAGGGCCTAAGCAGCCTGTTCAAGGCAGCACAACAGCTGCCACATGGGAATCAAATGGAGCTTTCGCGCTCTTTCCAATGAAATCCTTGACTGTCTAGAATACTCAACTTCACATGGGATATGATGATCTTAGTGTAGCGTCAAATTCGGTTAACTGTTCGAACAAACGGTAATAACTGTTCGAAGATGCTGGTCATCTACTTGTCATTCCACTCTTCGAGGAGTTAGCTGACTTGATCCATTAATAATATGGTGATCATTTCACCTCGAAAATTACCTTGATCTTCTTCACCCCAAACCTAATTGGTTTGGCGGTAATTGGCAAAAGCATCAAAGAGAATGCATAATCTTGCGCATTTAACACTGTGTTATATGTGGAAATCGGATGTGTCGGCCTCACGCGGCCGATCGGCCGGGCCGACTGAAGCCGAAAAAATCGGCCCTAACAGGGCCGATTCCGGAAATTGTCGGCCGAGCCGAATTCTAAGAGGCCGACATTCAAATTTCGGCCGAAAAAGCCGATCGGCCGGGCCGATTGCCATGCCTGGTATGGACTCCGTTTTTTGTATGGGAAATGGTGAAAAACAGCCTATTTCTCACCCCTGTAAGTGATCATCGGTCGGAACTAGCGTACTAATCAAATATACCATTCGAATCAGAAAAAAATTCTCTACAAGATAGGCTACTTAAAATAAATTGGAACATTAAAACAAAAAAGTAGCACATCATGGCATATGGCTAATCTGGGCCTAAAAATGCTCTTAAAATTGCTGTAACTTTTTAAATCGAGCTATTTAGCAGAAATGAAAAAGTGTTTCGGAATCAGCGTAAAATTCTGCACAAAATAAGCCCGGTTTTGTCTCAAAATTCCATTCACACCAAAAAACGTCTCCTTGTAAGTTAAGTGTAAGCCCATAAAAACAAGAAGAATGCCGAAAATTTTCCCAAAAAATTTGCACTACCCCAACTTGAATATTATCAGTTATTACCTTAGATTGTTTTACTAAGGAACAGATTGAAGAAAGCTATTGGCAAGGTTCGGACTATATACCTAAAAAAACTGAGGGGCAAAGTCAGCTAAAAAATACAGCTGTAAGGTCGGGGAAGGCTAAGATATTTATATTCGGGAATGAACCTCTAACAGTCAAGTCAAATTCGGGGCAAATTTACCGCAAAACGCATTGGTGTGGCAATGTTGCCGCTGCATGACCTAGCGTGTAATGCGGGGCGGTCGCGTCACGCGTGGCCTTGGCAGCGGGCCAGGGACGTCACCTCTTGGCTCGGGCGCCCCTCTTTCCCTCTGCACTCTCCCTTCACTTGATCTTTCCCAGGGTACTCCGTGTCGAAATGACTCGTCCCTCGCTCAATCCCTCAAATTGATCGTTTTTTTGCCTCGAATCCCATATTTGCCGATTCTCGCATTAACGTCATCTGAATCTTATTGGTCCGCACTAATGGGAAGCCAATTTTTTGCATTTATTAATTAGCTCTTATGCAAGGAAAAGCCCTTGGAAGCTCGATCTTTTAGAAAGATTATGAAACTCTTTGCGCAATAGTGTTAACAAGATTAGCACTAAAAATTGAATGACGCATAGCAAAGCTACACGTAACTAAACCTGCGTATCGGGTGTAGAATAATTAATTCAGAATTTCTAAACGCTTTAGAAAATTATTTACCGGTGCTAGATCTCACAATAGTTTCTACGCGATTATGGGATTTATTTACAGAGTTTTGTATATACCTATATGCGAAATTTCGAAACCCACTGTTTTTCATTGACACGAATTTTCCAAAGCTGGAATACAGCGTAAACAACTATAATAATACCCAATTTACTGACAAGTTTCCTCAATAACCCGATTTTTTTCCGCGTTTTGACCTTCCCCAAATTTTTATCAACACGAAATTACAGCCGATGCTCGTAAAAAGATGAATGGTGCAACAAAAACAACCGACGCTCGTCGTCACGTCGGTCTGGCCGATAGCCGGCAGGCAGGATACGCGAAGCGCCGACGCAGCCCGTCCACCGGCTCCTCGTCGGATAGTCCGCGCAGTGACGAGAAACGCTCGAAAAAGGGCAGAAGATCCCGGTCGTCAAGCCGAACGAGAGCGAATGGGCACGGTGGGGCGAAACCGGGCGTTTCCGGGTATCTGATCCCTCCTCCGCCTCCACCGTTGTTGGCCGAACCGGCGGATAGCGACAGGATGGACATTGGGAGCCCGCAGAGTGATGACACGCCCAAGAGGTGTGTTTTTGACAGTATTCCTTAAACTTGGCATTATGAAAATAACCCGTGGGTCAACCACTATTTTTTTGCAAAATTCGCAATTATCGCAAAATGTTTAGAAGAGGCCCCCGTACACCACCGCTTCCCCCGGCCGACCCTGGGCCCCGGATAGAAATCGTCCCGACGGTGAACCTGTGCAACCTGGCCCCGGCCGGCTATGGGATGCCCTCCTTCAAGCGGCACCCAGCCTCCACGGGAATGCACATGCAATATGGACAAGTCGCCTATGGGTTTGTTTTTCGCTGACTAGTAGGTTGATGGTGCCAACTTGATCGTTGTAACGTGCCTTGATACGTTAGCTAATTGCAATTTCAGTTTGCAACAAAACGGCGTCGCTTTACAACCACCACCTCCCCCTCCACCAATGGTACGAACACGACCGTTTGATGGGCATGAAATGATGGTTCGTTTTTTTGGGATAAATCTAGAGTTTAAACTGCGAATTGCAAAATCTTAAGCTGTGCTTATCATATCTTTTAGTAGCATCCCTATTCCAGAGTCCGAGCATAGAGTCGTCCACCTCCAGCCCGGCCGGCCGATCCCCGTTTTCTTGTGAAGGCTCCCGTCGGCCAAGAACCCCTCCTCTTCCATCGCCGCAAGAGGTAGGCGCTAGAATTTGGAGGATTTTTGCGTAGTTAGGGAACATTCGGAAAATTCCGTTTCCAGAAACCTCCCGGAACACCGACAAATGCCCCGACAAAGAGCCTGGCGTTTGACCCGATTTTGATGGACCTGCTGCATAGCAAGAAGCCGGCTGGTACACCAGGCGGCATGAAGAAGGCTCGGTTAGTTATTTAACCTTTTGAGGAGAAACCGTCTGGTGGTGGTTGCCTGTTTTACCACTTTTTTCAGCGTTGACGCGAATGGATCGGCTCTGCTGTCCCCGCGGGGTACCGGCGAAGCGCCAGTTGCCCGGGATACCGCCAATGGCCACCGAACGGCCGAGGACGGCAAAATTGCTGAAATGTAAGTACCGGCAAGATCGTTGGGGTGAAAAAGGGGGGACTAGCTAAATCGATAAGGTAAAATTTTAATATACCACACATCCAACGACTGTAATTTTGTCGTGGCATCATTTCGCCATTATGAAAAAAGATTTTGCGCGTTTGGGGGCATAATGGCGAGGTGACACGCGAGTCGTACAATTCCAAGCTTGCACTGCTGAAGCAGCTGTTAACTTGAGATTCAGAACACGTGAAGCCGAACCACGCCCGTTGACAGCCGAAGAGCTGAGGAGAAGGGAGGAACGACGACGGCTGAAGGAGGAACGAGAACAGAGGGAAAGAAGAAAGATGCTCGACCGCCAGCGGGAAATAGACAAACGGACCAGAATGGAAGACCGAGATCACAAGAAGCGGCCAGATGACGCTAGCCGGCAGAAACAAAACCATCGACCAAAGGTGGGGCTCGTTTTAAACCAAGTACTGTCAAAACGGTTGTAGGAATCAAAGCTAAAAATTTGACGATTTATTAAAAACCATTGTTCTAGGAAGAAGAAAAACCCAGCAAGAAAGATGAAAAAGAGGAACGGCATAAGCATCGAGAAAAGGTACCGAAAAACGAAAAAGCCGCTGCCGAGAAGACGAAAGAGGTTGGTGATGCTAAATTTTTAAAATTTTCTAAAAAATCTAAAGTTTTCAAAAACCTCCAGGATCTTGTTTTTCGTTCATTAAAAATTCCTCTCTAGATCGAGCATAAATCCAAGCCCGAAAAGCCACGTGATGAAAAAGAAGAGAAGCGACTGAAAAAGGAGAAGGAAAGGGAAAAGAAGCTCGAACAAAAAGCACTGCTCTCCCCGACACTCCCAACGACGACACACCATCTGAACGGCCAAGGCGAACTGAAGATCGAGATTCCGGAGATGAAGACGGAAATCAAGGTCGAGGTGCAGGAAAAGCTGGTCGAGATTGTGTCGGAGAAGATTGTCGAGACAAAGTCGATCAAGCAAGAAAATGGATGCGTGTCCGAAGAAGAAGTCAAGCCGGAGGTCGCGAAAGTGACCGAGAAGAAGAAATCCAGACAAGTAGGCTTACGACACTAGTTGTAGTTATTATTTTTTTAGGAGAATGGTGTCAGCTTGGAAGAACCGACTGTCTCTATGGCCCCAGACACATCACGGAAAAATGGAGAGGTGCAGGAGCCGGCAGAACAGCATCCGCTGCTTTCCCCAAAACCGGGAGATGGCAAGCAGAAGAAAGCCGATAAATTGCCGAAAGTTTCGAGCCGGGTGCGTTTTAAAGCGAATAACGAGCTAGTAAGACATTTTTCGTTCAATTTAAATTCTTATTTCCATTTTTAGTTCAAAAAATTCATGCTGATCGAAACGCACCCCAACGGCGGGGCCTCGATGCTGAAGGCGAACTGGAAGGACGTTTGCAGGCATTTCGCGGAACGGGAGGAGAGGTTGGCAATGAAGCAAATAATTTGAGACTTTTGGTTTAGGGAGGAATTCGCCCGGCAATTCATCCAGCTCGGCCTTTCCGAGCAAAACGAGATCCCGGTGTTCTGCGTGTGCGTCATCGAGAATGGGGCGAATTATCTGCAGGTTGGTTTCCGAGGCTTCAGGATAGGAGGCTACGAGACCTTCCGCTGAAATTACTTCGTTTTTATCTTAATCCGAGGCAAAGCTTGGCTTACTTGAAAATCTTGTCTTAAATGAACCTAATTTACTCTGGGAGGCCAAAAAATGTGTAAAATAAAAAAAACACGTTTGGAACTGTTTTAAATCAAAGGCCCGGATACCCCGCCATCTACACTAATCCTTTTCCGTATTCTAATCAATCTTACATTTTCCATTCTTAGGACGTATTCGGCTACCTGGCAAACCACTACTCCAATCTGCCGTGCAAAGTCGGTTCTTTGACGAATAAACAGTCGGTGGAGACGATGAGCCTTCAAGCCTACCACAATCTCGTCATGGAGACGTGTCATCACGGCACCTTCCGGTATGTTACACAACCACGGATTTATCGTATTTTACAGAGCCGGCCCTCTGAACGCGTTGTCGATGGTGGGCCCGAAGCAGGAAGAGTGTGGTGCTTTCTTCGGCGAACTGCTCGATCAGCTTTCCCGGTCGCCGTTCCTCGGCCCGTTGATGCCATGGGGATCGAAGAGCATCGCCGAGCATGAAGATCCAGCTGAAAGTGATGATGGGCCAATTTTCTGGATTCGACCAGGCGAGCAGGTTCGTCTCGGAACACTACAAGGTGTCGCCACAAAAGTACCGGCCTGGAAAATTGTCCGGTTCTAACGATTGAGCTCAAAAAGGCGAGCAAAAAACGCTTTTGGATAATTAAATTAAGCATTTAATCGTTACACTTCCAGCTGATCCGTACCGATGATCTGAAGGACGAAAAGGGCGGGAGGAAAGGCCGCGGCTCAAGGAATCCACAATCATTCAGGTAATGGGCGTTTTTGATCTTTGCTCGTTTCGGTCAGCGTCTATCCATCAATTCCGTCAATGAAAATTCAATGAATCGAAAACATTGCAGAAACCTGGAGCGCCGTGAGCTGCTCTTCGAAGACCGCACGCCATGCCACGCCGACCATGTTGGCGACGGGCTGGAGAGGCGAACAACGGCCGCCGTCGGCATTCTACAAGCCATCACGGGCCAACACGAAAGGTAGAAGATAACTGAGAACAGCTTCAGCTTACGAACCTGTTTCAGGACCCGCGAAAACCGCGCCGTCAAAGACGTCGTGTGCTTCCACGCGGCAGATTTCGACAATATCGTCGAGCGTCTGCAGCTCGACCTCTACGAGCCGCCAATGTCGCAATGTATCCAATGGGTCGAAGAAGCCAAGCTCAACCAGCTCCGCCGCGACGGGATTCGCTACAGCAAATTCCAGGTGTGTCTCACTTTTCTACTAATTCTATTCTTCGTTATAGTTGCACCATAATGACATCTACTTTTTGCCGCGGATGATCGTCCATCAGTTCCGGACAATATCCGCGTGCTCGTCGATTGCCTGGCATGTTAGGTATGTTATTTTAAGTGGCGTTTTTCGCGTTTACCATGCTGAAATTATTTAAATCGTTTGCAGACTAAAGCAGTACTATGATGCCCCGGAGCCAAGCGGCGTCGCCCGGCATCATCAGAAGGATTAGCGTTTATGGCAAACATTGTTTCCCCTAGGATAGCCACTGAAGTCAGTCGAGCACTTTCTAGTCAGGCTTTTCCCGCTCTGTCCCCCAAAATTGTTGATGTTGTATGTGTGTCCCGGATCAACACCAAAGCCGTGTCCCCAATCACTCAGGTAGTACCTCATCCTCCCCCGAATCCTCCTCCCAAACCCGCAACTGATGCCATTGTGATAAATTTCCGTCTTCAATTTCGGATTGAGAGACCATTTTCGATTGTGTTAGGCTCTTTTTGAAGTACGGTGGCCGCCGTGTAACCAAAACTGCATCGTTGACTATCTGGGATGAAGGCCAAGAAGTTACAAAGTCACCTGATACTCTAATCCTATTTTTAACCCCTCTTTCATTGTTAGTCTGTTTGCAAAGCTGGCTAGACTTTAACTCACCCCCGCCCCCCAGGACCGGAAATTCCAAAAAATTTTCGGCATTTCCGCTATTTTGTCGGGGTTTTGACTACGCCCTACGATAGAGCATCAAAAAAATAAAGTAAGAGTTTTAAGTACAGCCCAAAATAATATAAAAGAAAAAAGTTATAGCGCAAAACTTTTGGGAAATTCCGGCTGCGAGGAGGGTAAAGTAAAGTCTTACCGTGAAGCTCGAGCTAGTGCACTGAAAATTCTGAGTTCCAGCTCACCCAGCTTGCGCTTCACAAATTGCCCTGCTTCCTCGCTCTCAAAAAAACCTAAGAAACACCCAAACCCTCAATCATCTACCAACGATCTCCCATCGGACGTTGGCGGGCGCTAGAGCGCAAAAAAAAGCAAAGGGATTGAATTTTCTCCTGAATTCTCTGCTCTTCGCTCGCCCGTCGCTATCTGTTAAACAAAAAAGCACCTCAAACTGCCATCATCATCATCATCATCTCCCCATCCCCATCGCTCCCACCCAGCGTTGTACCCTAATAACAAAGCAAGCGAAACATTCAGGTCCCACCCTATTGGCCATCCCGGTTATATTCATCACCCTCCAACAAAACGAAATTATTGTTTTTCTATAATTTGCATCCATCAATCCATTTAACGAAATCCCCCGATCCTTTCAGCCACCCGAGCCTTTCTCTGGTCTCACCCTTTCTGTTTTTTTTAAATTTTGATGTCTCACCGTTTATCCATTCGACGTTCGATTCTCAGAGTTCTAATCAGCATTTTTGTGGTTTTTCGAATGTGTTGTCGTTTTTAATGCAATTCCGTTGTTAAGATAAAGAGAAAGTATAACTTTTTTCAAGTCTTTCCCCGAAACACGATAGTTTAAATATTTTTTAGGGCTCCGAATCGCTCCTAGGAGCGATTCGGATCCTAAAAATTTCGGTGCTGGGCTGTTAGCGGGTAGAAGAGATCTAGCAAAATACCTCTCTAGTAAAATTGTTGGCTTTTTACGGTGTATTTCATACTTTTTGATAACTAACAAAAATCATAAAAACATTTTGAAAATTGGCATTAGTGCATAAAATCAAAAAAAACTTGCGAGAAGTTCAATATAATCGTAGACGACTTAAAAATCTGTATAACTCTTTATTAATAACGAGTAAAAACGTTTTAATAAGGTTTTTAAAAAGTAAGCTACAACATTAGCAATAATTTTTACAATTTTAGTGTTATCGTGTATCAATTTTATTTATTTAATAAGGCGTAAAAAGCGTCATTTTTGACACTTACGCGGGCTATATTCGAAAGTGAATATACCACGTACCCCCATCCCTACCCCCTATAAGAGTCTAGTAAATTGCACCAGATCAGGTAGTAGGTCGGTTATTCCAGAATTTACGGATTACGGTAGCTACAGCGCCCCTTACAAGACACAGTAGTCCACGATACAACCCTAACCATCGTTGTGACCGTTTTTTTCACCCCTCTAGCCGCCGGGCAGTAGTGACAAACATACGCGCGAGTTAGACGGTGAAGACAAGAAGTGTGCCACAGCGCCCACTCGCCCATTTCTTTTGACGCCACCATTCCCATGAGATAGCCGACGGCGGGGCGAGATGCATGAATAACTTTCCGCCCCTCATCCACCGCCCACCCCATTGTACCCCCCAGGGCACATTGTCTGCCGGCTACGGTACTTAAGGCACGAGACAACGGACCACCTTCCCTTGTCACTGTCACTTCTAACACACACCTCCTGCTCACCACACATTGAGGAGGATGATGGCCTCTACGATGGGCCCGGCCACGGCTCTGCTACTATGCTGTCTCTCCGCCACGCCTGCTTTTGCCCAGGCCATCACCCCGACACCGCTGCAGGACATTACGCCGGTCCCGATGGACAAGTTCAACCCAAGGCTTACAGGTCTGTGTGGTTGGAGGTTTAGCATGAGCCGGTTTTTTGGTGAAAATCTACTTTCCATTCGGCATTAAGTCCATCTTGCGCGGAATTTGGCGCTGATTTCGAACCTGTTTTCGGAAGTTCAGAAACGCCATATTACAGAGGTCTGAAACAACTGCATGCTAAAAATACCAAAAATCGCCCAATTTTCAGAGATTTTTAACCCTTTTCGCACCGGAAACCTCGTAAGTTCTTGGATCGGGTAGTTTCGATAATTTTGAAAGCGGATTCGGAATCAGCATAAAATTCCCCACTAGCTAGGAATCGTGCGACGCGGACTCCCACTTGTCACTAAAAATGTCTCCCCTTGTTAAAATTGTATTCTAGTCGACGCGTAGCTCTTCTTTTATCTGTCCAACCGCCATCATTCCGGGATAGCCCTTTCAGAGTTCCGCCGTATCGATGGGAACAGCGACGAGAAGCTGACGTTCACTGAATTCCTGCTCTCCGACAAGGACTATATCGAGGCGAAAAGCCGCGAGTTCCACGCCTACGACAAGAACAGTGGGTTCCCCGACTCAAACACTAAACAAAACTGGTAAAATGCTTCGTAAACAATACTGACCCAAGTTTTTCAGAGGACGGTCAAGTGACGCGCGCCGAGTACGAGGCCTACTACGAACGGGACGGGCATCGCCACGGGCCCGAAGGGATGGATCACGATTTCTTCGGGGGCCTCGTGGGTCCTTCTTCCCATCATTCCCATTTCCCTTTTGGTCCCTCGTTCGGGGGAAGCCGCGAGGACTCCAACGAGTCATCCCCCTCTTTTGAACACCGCATGTACGACCCGCAGCCGTCGCTCTTCTTCCTATTCTAAGGGCCTTTAAAGGGACTGGGAACTTGCGCGCTTGTCCCCTTGAGTAAAACGGCACTGGACTGTTAGCGGGGAGAGAAAAGATATAACCTATGTCTACCTAGCAAAACGCTAAAGCTTTATAGTGTACTTTTTAATATTGATTTTGGTAGTTTTTAATTTATCAAAGCCAGAAAAAACCATTTATTGATATTTTAAAATTCAAAATTGGCCGATTTCGCATATTGTCGGATTTTTGACCAAAACCAAACATTGAGCTTCGAAATATTAATAAGGTTTTGAATTTGTAAGAAAAAAAAAAAAAAAAAAAAAAAATAAAAACAAAAAAACCCCGGGGGGGGGGAAAAGAAACCGTAGAAACTTTATGTACTTCTTCAAAATAGCGCAAAGTTACATAAACGATGTGAATGTTATTATTAGGCTCCGCGGGGTGACAGGTAAAAGCTAGGTTGCACTCCGCTGAAATCGCGCCCCCCCCCCCCGAAAAGAGTCCAGTACCGAAAAAAAACAATTTTAGTAATGTCTGGCTATTTACCAAAATTCCAAAGAATATTCCCGGTCCCTTTAGCACGCTGCTCTGAAAAGCCATCGCATTTTTCTACCCTCTTGCTCAAAAACGCGGCCTCCCAGCAATCGCCCCGCTCAACCATTCCATCACAGCCCCCAAAGAACCCCAAACTTTTCCAAAGATTCCAACATTTGTTACATCGGCCAGGCCACGCACCGGAAACGCCGCTAAATGCGTAGGCTTTCTGACCTGTTCGGCGTTGACTAATTGTGTCAATGTCCAGTTGGATTCTCCGTGATGCTAATAAAATATTCGATCGACAATTTGGATAGTTGGCATGGCATTACACGGGGAATCCAACTGAACACAAAAGATGGTGGGGGAGAAATGATAAAACTACAGACTAAGCGTTACTGAACCCGTGAAAAACTCAGCGTTCACTCTTAAACCCATAAACGATCTATAAAATTTTCTAGGATGACCACCCGCCATTCCGGCACTTCTTCGGCTCACCGATGCGTCACTCCCACGAGACGCCCAGCAGCCAAAGCTCTCCCGAAAAGCGCTCATCATCCCCAGGGCATGGAGATGGTGCTCCCTTCTACCGTAGACTCGGCGGACTTGGTGGCAAAGCGCAGCGCCCATCCTCCGAGAAATTCCAACCAGATGTTCCGAAATATCTGTTGTGGTAGCTAGTGTTTTGTCCCTTCATCTGTTAGGCCGGTTAGTACGAGAAATCGACGTCAAACACCTATTTACAGTAATACTAAACATATTTTACGAAATCCCCTCTATAAACAAAAGGAAATTCGTAATTTACTTTCGGTGGCTTCAATAATTCGTGCAGAATCAAAACATACACCCCGGCAAAAAGTGATCGTTGATGTGGCTGTACAAATCTGCTCATCGTCCCCCTTCATACAAAGTTTATTCCGAACCAAAAGAATATACACAAAGTTCAGTGTTGATAAAAATATTTTCGTTGTAATGGATCGATCGATAAGCACATTTCTTGCTCCATCTGCTAGCTGGCCAGGTCGAGAATCAGGGCCACCACAAAGAGCAGGGTGAACACCTAAACGAGGGGGGTTGTCAATTCTAGGCAGCCAGAGACCGACCTGAATGACCATCTGAGATATTTTGATCATCTCCAACTCGAACTGGGTCTTCCTGATGTTGAGATGATAGAATGCGACGAGCTCGCCATTCCCATCCACGCAACTAGAATGCGTATTTCTTTTTGAGTCAGCCCAGATACATATATTCATCCTCATCCTCGTACAGCACCTCCTTGAATACCAGATTGAAGTCACCGTCGATAAAAATCCTTAAAAAACAAGGGTTAACGGCATCGCGCCCGGAATTCTCTACCTATCATTTTTCTTCTGCGGTAGTACTCTAGCGGTCAACGGGCCACTGTAGTTGCCAGCCCAGTAGTATCCCTAAAAAAGGTATAGGCACCTCGTCAAAAAAACCCCTACCATGAGGTCATTGTCAAATTTGCACGGAAGCACCAATTGATCTCCGTTGAAGGGCTAAACCTTGTTGCAAAAAAAAAGTTGCTGGTGGTTTTACCTCAACAATTTCCCTGACAACTTGGCGGTGGAGGCGTGGCAAAAGCTCGCCGAAAATAAATTCGCCACCGGGGATTCTTTCTGAAACGGATTTTTAATAAATTGGTGTCAAAAAGACCAACCAACATACGACGCTTTCCCAAATTGATCTCTCGATCGGAAAACACGAGTGGCGTGCTCCTTCGAATCACAATGTATCTACACACACAAACTGCTCAAAGTTATTGGAATCGCCTCACATGACAGCTGCGAAATTGGTAGAGGATCGGGTGACGGCCGATTTCTTTGCGATGCCTGAGCACAAATAGGCCGTAGCTAAAGGAATTACCTGAGCGGCACCAGACTCGAAGCGCATGGAACGGAATGGAAGAGGCGGAGGTGCTCCCAGCCGGACGAGAGATTTGACAAGGTGACCGGCTATAAGAAAGCTACGTTAATTCCTCAAAGCCCACCATCACATGGCATTCCACTGTCCGCACCATCTCGCCTATCACCGCCCCGCAGCGGTTGCACCGAGACCAAGGAGTCGCCTGAACATAAAAACATGTTAGTACTTTCCTTTCTACCTTTGCAAACGTGCGTACACCATCGAATTCCGCCTCCATAGCAATTTCCTCTTTGGTTTTCGTGATGTTCTCTTTATCCAGGAAATCCTGTAAAATCTTTAAAATCTAATGGACCTGCATACCTGAATTTTACTCTCCCGATTCGTGTAGACGTCGAGAAATGTCAAGCTCTCAATGTTGCCTGAAGTCGCTATCTCGCTCATGCCCGGAGTACGCGCACATCTTAATAAAAATACGTAGTTTTTTAAAGTGCTACTTGTAGAAGCCAATGTCCGTCCTCGACGCGTTGTCGATCCGCAATTCGTAGCCGTCTCCCTGATGGTATTTGGCACGCGAAGCAAGCCCAAATGCCCTGGAATCAAATTGTGGGAATTTTTCCATCCTCACTTTTTGAAAAATTTGTTATTCAGCAGCTCGCTGATGCCCTTCATTTTGAAGTTCTGTGTGATTTCGGTCCACCTGTAAAACAAGTTTTTAGCAAACGCGTCAACCTTACATGTGATCGCCGTTCGCCAGAAAGAACCAATCGTTTTTCCATTGATTCAGATTGGTATTGGCACCAAGAACGAACTGAAAAAAAGAGTCAAAATACATGTAATGCTCACCGTTCTTATATGCGTCAAAAAGTTGTGGAAGATCTTCTCGCCATGGCTTTTGCCGGGCTGAAACACAGTTTGGATGAATAAAACGGCAGTTACCTTGCAGACTTGTCGAATGAAGAGTTCGTCTTCGGGGTAGAGGCTGCAAAAAAAAGTCATATTGACAACGAAAAATATCCTACCATCGATAGCAGTTCAATAGGGCTGCGGCACCTTGTCGAACCAATAACACCTCAGCCGTCACCTGGAAAATAAGTTTATATCTCGAAAAATTCATAGACTACCCATTTTTTAAAGGAAGCAGTAATATCACATCAACAAGATTACACCGTATGAGAAAGGGTGTTATATTGAAGGCACGACGCATTTTCAATCACTACAACTTTGCTCAAAGTAAGGATGTGCTAAACAAGTCGCTGCATCCGGTCGCTTCGCTGGGTTGCAGACCAGCAGCTTTTCCAGCAAGTCCTCGGCTTCGGGCGAAAAGTTGCAAACAACATCGGCCCATGTCTGTGCAGGCTCGTCGCTGAGTTCAACTTCATAATATCCTGCCAATCGTTCCGCCGCCGGCCAGCTTTCAACTGAGGGCTCGCCGAGCAAGTCGAAGATCAGTTTCAGCTCGTCTTCTTCGTCGTCCCCATCAAAAAGGACGTCACCGCCGGAGACAATTTCCGCAAAAATGCACCCAGCCGACCAGATGTCAATTGCTGGTCCGTAGAGATGGGCACCCCATAACAATTCTGGGGATCTGTACCACAATGTCACGACTTGATGGCTGTAGCCCCGGATCGGCAACTTGAAGGCGGTTGCAAGCCCGAAATCGGCGAGCTTTAGCACGCCGTTGACGTCGAGCAGGATATTGCGAGGGGTGAGATCGCGGTGGATTACGTCGTTGGAATGGCAATAGGCTAGGCCGAGAAACATTTGTTTCGTTAGGCTTCTCGCCTTTTCTTCAGCGATCGGCTGCTCGCCAAGGGAATCGAAATATTGCCTCAGGTCCTGCACGCAAAATTCGAAGACGAGCACAAAACGCTCCTTCGTGCGGACCACCTCGTGCAATTTGACGACATTTTCGTGGTTCAGCTCGCGAAGTAGGGATATTTCTCGGAGCGCTGAACTTGGTACGCCTTGATCCTCTTCGTTTGGGCGGATCTCCTTGAGAGCGACGAGGGCTTTGGTAGTTTTGTTGCGGGCTTTATAAACTATTCCGTAGGCCCCTTCGCCAATCTTGTCCAAATTCTCGTATCGTTCCAGTGAAATTGAGGCAAGAGAACCGACACGAGTCTCATCTTTTCGGGCAGCTACACACTTCTCGTAGTCGTCGAAATCCTTGGCCATCTGCCAGTTCACCGGACTCTGCAAAAAAAAAAATTAAAATGGAGCCCAGAGATAAATAAATAACGAAATGTTACATTTGCTACACACTCAATCGAAAGTGCTACACATTTGAGGATATCCGATATTCAAAAGTTATGCATACCGATCTCTCGAGCTCAGCGCTAACAAGCGCGTATAATAGTAGTGTGCGGAAGAACAACATTCGCAAACATGTATGTTTTGAGAATAAGGGTTCATTTTGACGCGTTTATTCAGGAAAAGGCATCCAAATCACAGAAATTGGCAATTTTGGCAATGCAACGTTTTTGGGTTAGTGTTGTTCCGCTACGTCCTGGAATTCATCGGCCTCATCATCGGCTTTTGGAATCTCGTTCTGAAAGTTGAAATGGTTAGGCTTAAAATTTAAAATTAAACTTAATAATTAAGGTTAAGGGTTGCTTACCTCCTTTTCCTCTTCTGCCGCGTCATTTTTCGGCTTGGCAAAGTTGATGGGAGGTTCCCGCTGCCATGAGGGGACCGAACTCGCTGAAAAACTTTTCGTATTTCCTTTCCGCTTATGCGCAAGGGGTTCGGAGGGTTACTCACTGGTGGTCATGGCAGGGACCCGCACGGGTGCGAACTGGTTGTGGCTGAGGAGCAGACTCCGGATTGTGCTAAAGACGTTGATTTCCACTGTTTTGAAGCGCTACCTGATGCCATTTTCGACCCTTTCCATTTCATTCTGCCGAACGCCTACCATCAGCAAAGCCTTGGAGACCTCGTCCTGGTGCATCGCGAGTCTAAAATCGTTTGATCAGCACGTTTATTCTCTGATTATCGTGTTTTATACTTACGTCTGTGTCTGCTGCGACACACTATCGATGACAAATTTCATCGAATTTTGCAGCTCGTTGATTTGCTGTTGGAGCTGGCGCACCTGCAAGAACCTTAGTAAATCATGGCAGCAAACCTCTTCCGTTGCCGGATCGGGGATGTTAAACCGGGGCAGGACATAGGTGCGTAATAAATGGTAGCCAGCATATGCTGCCGTGGACAGTATCGCAGCCGATTCCACAAATTGCCGCACTCTAAAAAATCTTTTAGCTTTCGCTGCAATTCTTAACTCGAAAATAAAAGCAAACTAACTTGTTAGGTTGGTACGGAGGTGGATACTGTTGCATTGCAATATTTTGAGCGGGAAGGACCGGGAGCCTTTGCTTTGCTTCTTCTAAAAGGGCATAACTCCATGATTAAAGAATTCCAAACTAACCGATTTCCTGCTCGGTGACGCCCTTGCCGAGTAGGAAGCCTCTCTGCTCTTCCCAAGGGCTATCGCGAACTTTTGGGGTGCTCAAAAATTTGTATGCGGCCTCGACCATTTCTGGGCGGTTGCTGCTGGAGCCGGCATCCATTTTCAGGTGGATGTAGGATCTAGACAGTTACGATTAGAGAATAGCAGTTCAGCAAAAGTTGTCTTGGGGGAGACTCTGACTAGACTACAAAACGCGACTGGATTGATAAGGGGTGCGGGCGCGGAACGGGATCGTGCATGATGGAAACTGCAGATTTGTCATAATATCCCCCTCCCACAACAACGAAAAATAGTTGGGGCCGAATTTATTCCTGCAATTAGATACATATTCAAAAATCCGACAAACTCCAAGGTATCTTATCACTAGAAAAAGTTAAGGGCAAAGGCACAGCGTATCAATCTGGGGCGGGGAGGCAGATTATCACATTGATGAAAAGTCACAGAGGTCATCGTTTAGCAGCATACATGCTTTATTGCACTAATGTACAAGCAGACAGGTGGGATCACTTGAGCCTATTACAGAATCCGGGAGAGGGGACTTATCAGTTTCCTATTTGACCAGAATCCCACGCAGCGTGTCGAGCGACTCCGTCAAGGCATCGGCGAACGTTTGGGCCTTCTTCTGGGTCTAAACGAGGCTGAGGTTCAAAAGTTGGTTTGGCTTACCTTCACGCTGGAGATCACGGCTCCAAGCTTGCTTGGCACTACATTGTAGCCGACACCGAATCCGTCATTGACAACCTACCAAAAAGTAGATACAAATCAGGATTCGAATGACTCACAGGCCCGAAGCCGCCAAAAACAATCGTTTCCGTGGAGAGCGTTGAGGTCGACAAGACGAAATGGCCCATTCTACGACATAATTTAGGGTACTCTAGTAGACAAACCTGTCATAAGAAGCATCTTGGAAAACTACCGGAAGCGGCTTGCCCAACCGTTCCGCCGTAATCCGAAGGCCGAGTAGATGGCGGTCGAATCCTTGGCCTAAAAAAAAATAAAGTGTTATATATAACATCCGAAAAAACGTACCCATGCTAGCCTCCTTTACGAGTTGCGAATGCTGATCAGAGCACTTCTTCAGTAACTCTTGAATATTTTCCTGGCGACCGGATGTTAGGGCCAGGACGGTTTCTTTGGTTGCCGCAGTGGCCGATCTATAAAAAACAATAGGAATCGCCGTACCCTCACAAACCTCATGCATTCTGTTCGCCCCTTCAAGAAGGCCGAAGTGCTGCAAGACTCGTAGGTGGGCACAAACTCTTTGTACGCATTGTAATACGCCAACTAAACAGGTCTCTCACAACTTATTTTTTCAGTTTACCTGAATCGCGAGCTGCATCACCGAGTCTGGACTTAACTTCGTCTTTTTGATGTGGTCTCGGTTCATCTTCGTGTATTCAACGGTAGCAAAGTCAAGGTCCTATACCGGAATATGAAAATCCACGTCGAACGCATACCTTGCAACTTTCCACATGGGTCTTCTGGGCGTCGGAGATTTTGTGGCGGACCGAATCGTTGAGTTTAAACTCTAGACAAGACTTTTTCTATAAATTAAATAGAGTTACTCAGTTCCTGGAAGTCAGCAGTTGCGCTAGAAGCCGCGCCGGGAGCTACAAAATGATGGGCATTCGTATCCCTAGGAAACCATAAAAATAGATGGATTTGATTTATACTTGAAGCTCTCCTCCATCAGTCGCAACACGGCCACGCCGTCACCCCACGAGTGCTCGAAGTTGATCGTCGATTGGCCATTGCCTAAGGAAAGTCCATAAAACAGCAGAATGCTATACCGTCAACGATCAGCTGGAAACACTTGTCGAACCAGCGATTTGAGCCATCATCACCGATCAGAAGCGATTGGACCAACCTAGAAAATGTATTTTAGATACGTAGAAATCTACGTACCTTTTATGATCGGTAGTCTTCAAATCATCGAGACAAAGAGCAAACATGGCACCGTCGATTTGCCGCAGTTGTTCTCCATTCCCGAGATCTTCAAGCTCCCGTCGTGCATCAGCCCACTACACCTCATAATTCAAGAAAAAGAAAAAAATAACATACCACATCCCTATTAGCAGCAGTCAACGATCCAAGGCGCTCGTTCTCGGCGGCCGGCTTTTCGCGTAAGATAGCTTGGATAGCGGCGTGGACTTCACTAGCTGGTAGAATATTTCCTAAAGGCGACGGTCGGACCTAATTTCAGCCGCTAACCTTTATCATCGAAAATACGGACAGCAAAAATTCGGCCACCATGAAGGACGACAAAGTGCTTCTGTTCCCGGTCAAGATACAGCACATCCTAAGAAAGTTGATTTCATATTTATTTAATTACCTTTTCTTTCTTGGGGACACGAGATCCGTTGAAGAGCGATTTGTATTGACTCATGTCCAACGGGAAGGCCTTGAAAGCGACGGCGCCAAACCAGGAAAGTGAAGGGGGAAGCATCCTGAAAAGTTCCATTAAAGCTAGATGGTTTTGGCTTTCCAGACCAAGGAATGTAAAAAATTATATACCTGCAAACCCGCCGGAAAGTCTTCGTGTCGCTCTTTTTAGGGTTCATGTGGAAGACTTCTGGTGCGAGTACCTAAAAAACAAGGGTTACGTAAAAATATTAAAGTAGACCTCAGCATCCAATGATTTCTTAATGCGAGCGTAAGAAATGGCAAAGTTGGTCGCCCTCGTCGCCTGCTCCATGAATTTCTCGTTCGGGTCGGCCGCATACATCATGAACGGATTGTAGTTGACCGGGCAAGGAACACGTGCCCTAGAAAGATAATTGAAAACATGGTAAAACGAATAGATGATACCTGAGGTAGATATCGAACCAAGGCTCGCTGATATAGCTCGTATCCTTGTGGTTTTTGTCGTACTTCAACAATTCCTCTTGGAGCTCTAGCAATGGTTGTGAGGAAGCAATGATAAAAATACCTTTCCCTTCGCCATTCTCGAATTCGCGCATGAGCTTCTCCGTTCTTGCATAGTCAGCCTCGCCGAGAACAACCTAGAAAAAAGCCTGTGAGAGACCGCTCTGAAAGCGCACCTTAGCCGACGCCAGATACCGATTAGCGGTATCAGAGAGCTTCGGGATCGGAAGTCGCCGCAATGACTTCTGGAAGTGGTACGACGGTAACTCCGATTTGTGCAGGAATTGATATTCAGCATCGGTGAGTTGGGATGCCCTGAAGTTTCAAGTCATAGTCTTCCATTACTGCTTTATGAATTACTTTAATTGAACTCACATCCTCAACGATCCATGAAGCCGGCCGGGGAGACCGTTTATCCGTGCCAGCATTTCCTAGAAGACCGAATTTAGACTATACAACTTGTGAATATACTGACTCTAACAAGAGTTAAAATTTCTAGCGATGCGCCCTCCTTTGCCGTTCCCCTATCCGTGTCATCGGTCAAATCGCCGGGGGCACGTAGCTTGTAGTCATGGACTTTGCCCCCCCTTTCCTTTCCAGAACTGTACCCCGAAACAATCTGTGGAGGAAAGCCTGAAAATGACGTGCACCAACAAAAAGCAATACTTTATCCCAATCCATAAAATGACATTTTAAACACACAATCAGCCGGTACGCGAAAAAGTTACCATCGACGCATAAATGAGCAAACAAATAGTAAATATGCACTAGATACAACACCGTAGAAATGACAACATGACAATTTTCGCAATTTTTAGAAGATCAACGATTCAATAGCATTGTTCGTGGCTTCATCGAGCAGTTTTTTGCTGACGACGTCGGCCCGGTCCTAAAGGTGTATATTAAGGACTCGGCTAAAAAGTCACCTTCTTGAAACTCGCACAGAACGATTCCAACCGCTGCTCATCTTCAACGAGCACTTGTCGTAAAATGATGTGCGCTTTCTTCTCCTAAAAAGCTGTGTCTAAGCAGACAAAAATGCCTACCTCCTCTTTCATGTCCGGAGCGCAAGCCATTTTGCTAGCCACCGATCCGTTGTCAAAGCGACGTGTCACGAATTCAACACCTGAAGCTGCGATAAAAATAATAGAAGCTTTGCAACCTGGGTCCAAAGGTGCAAAAGCGATGAGTGTATTCCGAATCCGCTGAGCCAGGGAATCGCTTGACCAGTCTTGACTCAGTTGACGCAATCTTTCCGCTTCTGCAGAAGCAGCCTCCATGAATAGTTGACTGAAACAATGGGGGTAGAACATCCAAAAAAAGTTAGACAGTACCTCATTTGTAGCGTCTGCTCCAAAATATCCGCGTCAACGTTTGAGCGTACCCAGTCAGTTTCGTTTGTCCGCTTCAAGTCATCAAGGCGGATGCGCTTGAGCACCTCCTCGCGTACAGCAGATAAAGGTACGTTTTTAGCGATTTGCTGAAGCAGCCTATTAGCGTCACTCTCAACAACAAACCTGTGAAATGTACTCGATGAGCTCGATCGCCCCCTCGGCTGTCCGAATTGGGGGAATTGGAGCAAATTTCGGTTCACGGGAAGACGCTGTCGATGGAGGGGAAGGAAATGCTGGAAAATAGTTTTTCCAGAAGTGATACTTTTAGAAACCTGATTTTCTAGGCGTATCAAAAAGCGATCCGTGGGCCAGTCGCAGATCTGTCAAGGGTGATTCTTCGTCACCATCTTGTACCGTTTCCATAGGTACATGGCGGAGCTGGTCCCGAGACCTATAAATGGTAGATCCTACTATATATAAAAAAGTAGTGTCTGTGTGTGTCTGTGGACACTTTGCATAATTGACTCGAAAAAAACCGGGTTACCAAGACATCGCGAAGGGGGAAGGTTTTTCGGGCCCAGTCGAAAGGTATTTAGGGGTATTCGAGGGCGTAGATTACTGCACGCTTATCGGATTTTTAAGAAAATGACGATTTATACCTTATTTTAGTGTTTTAAAAACATATGGAAATGCCCTCATTTGCATACGAGGCCCTAGGAGGCTTATTTTGGATTTTGTCACGCTCTCAGTCGGTCGCTTTTGTGATTGTTAAGGTTGAGAGGTTGGCACTAATTCGCTAGAATTATGCAAAGTGCCCAACGTCTTAAGATCCCCGCGCAAAGGCCAGGGTGAAAAGCCGCGTCGCGGCTTTTCAACCCTGGTGATCGTTAATAAAATTGGGTATTGGCGAGATCAAAATCCCTCCTGTCTCCAAACCTACTTCATAAAGGATTTGATGCCGAGCAAATCATCAAGACTCTCCTCCCAATATGGATTTATTGCCGCTCTCCGATAGCGCTGCTTTCAGCTCTCCCTCTATCAGAGACGTCGAGATCTGATCCGCAAAACGCGAGCGCTAAAGGTATCAAAGTTTCGATGTTTGATTGATTTCGACTTACCGGACTCATCGATGGTGGTGTGTAGGTGGCAAGACGCATCCGTGGTGAAATGAGACTAGCGTCGTAGGAACTGAAAATCGAAGTCAAAAGTAATTAGTCTTTTATCTACCGAGGAGAATGCTCGCGGCGCGGTGACTGCTTTTCGCTGAAGGAGCTGATGAAGTCCTCGATCATATCGCGCCGAGAGACATTGAAGCGGCGCTCCTCAGCGGCCTCCTAAACAAGGTTTTCACAACCGTTGGAATGCTAACCTTCTGTTTCTGAAGATCCCCCGGAACAGGGCGTGGTGCCGGAGGGAAGATCAAGAAAGAATCTTCGGGTTCATTTTCTTTCTCAGCCGATTGTCGGTCTTCAGGCAGCTCATCCAGGTCGATTTTGTTGAACACCGTCGTCTGCTCCGGGGTGGGTGGGCCGGACGTCTAAATCCAGATTTTAATAATTTTTGCAAATGGACCTGGATCGATGCTTCCTCCAATCCGTCCTCAGGTTTTTCAGTGGAAGGTGACGGCTCAAGAGCGGCAGTGAAGGATGGCTCTTCGACCTAAGCGAACTTTAGGAGTAGAGGCAAATGCTTACCAGGGTATGCTTAACCGGGCTTTCCGTTTCAATTTCCTCAACGATCTCCACCTCAATCGCCGCGCTTTCGAAAGGCTCGGCTTCTAATACTGCAGACGCATCCGAGCTTTGAGATGTAACCTTCGGCGTTAGGGCTTCGGATCGGGCAGAAGCAACCCCCTCCTCTTCCGTGTGACCTTCCAAGTTTCCACTGTGAACAGACGACAACGACTAAAGCGGAATTCTTTTTTAAAAACGACAAAATTAAACTACCGGAACAACTTCTGCGAAAGATCGATCGCTAAGACTAAACTTCTGCATATTTTCGGTCAGATCATCGATCCCATCCGTATGTGCTTCCGAATTGCTTTGTGAAGCCGCGCCCGAATCGCCTAAAAAAGGACAATAGATGATTTGTAAAGGTTTACCAAAAGTCGCTGGTAAACCCTGCTCAACGTCTTCAGCAGGCTTCAATTCTACCGGCTCGTGAAAATCTAGTGAGCATTGGTGACCGGAATCTTAAGTCTACCTTTAGCAGTGGCCAACTCTGTTGTCGAGACGCTATGAAGCTCCGATGAAGGCGGCTGGGAGTCTGGGTCGCTATACCGTTCAGAAACCTGTTGAGCCTAGTTATTGAAGGTTAGAAGGAGTAACAACAACATGTACCTCTTCATCCGTACTGGCCGTTTCCCAAGGTACCGTAATGTTCTTGAAAATTTGATGCTGACTCATGCTCGGTTTCGCCGACTCTTCGTTCAAAAAACTGAAATCCAGCTTAGGCACTGGATCTGGACGGAAACCTAAAAACAAAGATGAAAACAGAAGATCGTCATACTGCTGTGATGCCTGCTGTTAGTTGGTGTAGAACTGAGCTGTGCATTAGAGACCGCCACCGGAGTGGAGCGTTTAGGGGAAAATGGAGAAAAACCGTCATTTTCATCGTGAGTCGATCGCTAAAAGTCCGGATTCAATGAAAGATCAACTCTGAATACCTTCGTAGAAATGGTAGGTGTTTGCGCTTGGATTGATTTCTCTGCCAACACGATTGGCTTCAACGGAGTGCTATCTAAAGGAATCGAGGATTGCTCAAAGTTCAAAAACTCCTACTCTTGGCCAGCATTTCTAGTAGAGGCTTTGACCCGCTGATATAGGCCTCGTGGGCGTCGATCTGTTTTTGCAGCGAAACAAGGGTCCTGAAAGAAACGTATTTTGGGGGAAGAGAGCAGACTTTTGTGAGATATCGTCATTGATAGTAGCCGCTATTTTGCGCTTTTCATCGAGTTCTTGCCGAAGTGAGTCTAAAGTCTCAGTATTTTTTTATTTTGTAAAAATAATCACCTTGTAGCGAATTGGGGCGGCCCTTGACTGGGCCACGATGCGGGCTCACAAAAGACTGATTGCCGACCCGTTCGATAAAAGACCGGGCATCGTCCTTGATGTCTTCTAAACACCCAAACATAACCCTTCGAATAAGCCACTAACCATAGAAGGATCTGTTGCTTATCTCATCCCACTGATAGGACCGGTCAGGTATTCGGGGCTTCTTGATGACATCGCCAATGATGGCTTTCAGCATTGCAGCAGTAGGTGAAATGTCTTCATGTGTTTTGTTAAAGCTTGTGTTCTTCCAAGGCAAGTGTCTGGAAAAAATTTGCCTCGAAAAGCAATTTCTTACTTTGACAGCTCCTCAGGCAGTTGGAAGGCCTCCATGCGTATCACGGCTAAATCTCGGCGAATATTGGCCAACCCAGCTTCATATTCACTCTAAAGTCGTGAATCTACACCAACGAAGCCCATTTACCGGGGAAATTTTTCTCAGCTTCTCTCGTTGGACGAGCTTCAAGCAGTCCTCGGCCAGCACCTCGACCCTCTTACGTAAATTTACTACGTTCTTCATCACCATTTTCCACACGGCATCGGAACGCCCCTTCTTTTTGCTAAAATTTGTGATAAAGCGAGCGGGAAGACGTACAGCTTTGATTCCTGGACAGCCTGTGCAATAATTTCGCGACTGAGGAGTCGAATAAACGCGTCATTCGTCTTCTTCAATTCTTCCTCAAGGATTTTGGTCATACGTCGCCGGAATTCACGATCATCGCTTTGTTTTTGGAGACGCTCTAAACCGAAAATAATGTAGCCAAATTAGCGATACTTTTTCGTTCTTTCTCTATTCTCGACAAGCCACCAGCTAAGCTCTCTAAGTTCTTCTCCATAGCGCCAAGCGAAGCCGAAGCATCGAGTTGCTTGTTGACGCCCAGTAGCATATCAGACTAAAGCGGAAATTTGTAGAAAATCAAGGAGTCTACCGTGGACGTTTGTTGTTCAGTCTTTTCCACGATGCTGCGATCCATTTCCGAATGGAAACTCGTCGAGTACACCGTCTGCAAAAAATATAATGATTGACTAGTGGTCAAAAATACCTTGTCGAATTTGCTGCGAAAGCTGGACTCCAATTCGAATTTGATGGAAGCAGGTAATGATTGCCTGAAAGAAGAGAATAATTCAGGGATTCTTCGTTGTACCTGTTTTCAGAATCAAAGGGAATCGTGGAAAAGGCTTTTTTCGGCGACTTCCACATGGCCTCCGCAGGGCTCCTAAAGTTTTTAGGTGTACATAGTATTGTAACGCACCATTGGGAAGGTTGCAGATTTTTGACTTCTCCCGTGCTTTGATTGAAACGCTCCAAAAGTTTTTCGGTACTTTTGTTTAGGCTGAAATCGAGTAGTTGGAATTTCGAACTGGAGAACGCCGACCGATCGAAGATGGATGTCAGGTCGCCTTCTTTCTCTTCAAGCGACATATTTAGCGTTGCGTCGGCCGTTCGATTGAAGCATGACGGAGTGGCGACGGTTGTTTTGAAGGAATCGTCTCTAGAAAGTGGGTTTCTCGCTTTCCAAGTAGGTCACAACAACTTTACAACTTTTCAAAACTTACAATGGAATGCGTGCCATTGGCGTGTAGAAATTGCTGTAATCGAAAGGTTCCGATTCGGGCGTCTTATTGAGATCGGGCTTTTCAGGCTGAAGCATTATGCACTCGTTGAACACGAAAATTACCGAATGAGACGCCATGGAGGAGGCCGATTGGTGCTCAGTTGGCTGGTCCCTTTCAAAGGCCAAATCAGCTCCGTTCAAGAAGTCAATCGACCAATCGTCTTTCCGCTGTTTCTTCAGCTGCGACTTTGGCTAAAGCTCCGTAAGTTTTCTTGGCTATTAGGCTCACCGTCAATACTCCTGTAGGGCGGCTGGGCGAAGCCTCATATTTTAGTTCAAAAAATCGACTGGCTGTCACCGATTTTTGCGGTGATGGTTTGGGCAGTTTTGCAGGTGGTTTTGCTATTTGGCGAACGTTTTTAGTTACGGATCCTCGATGCTTCACGGGAGATTCGCTGAGTGAGCGAGGCCGAACTGAAATCGGGTAATGTTTTCAACGATATTTTTTTACCTTCGCCTAGAGTTCTGCGAGTCCTCAAGTGCTGTGGAAGCAAATAGCTGCTGTTTAAAGCGGTGTTGTCACCATTTTTCCAGGGTCGCCTCTCGTTCGAGCTGCTCGGTCGCTGAAAGCATCATGATTGTTGGGTGCTATCGATATTGGCCCACCATGTTCTCATCGCTCTTCCAACGATTTCTCAAATCGTGAGAAACCTCTCGTGATATTTCGCGGCAAACTTGCTGTGCCATATGGCCAATATCCATATTTGCACTGAAATGGTGGTCTGTTACACGTGAAATATCTGAGATTCAAGCTAAGATTAGGGGCAAACCACTAAGCGAATGCGAGAAAAAATTGTATCTTGGAACGGAATTGGAATTTTTGGCTTCTTAAAGACATTAAACCCTCTAAAGCATTGCCATAGTTACCGAGAGCTTAAAGTAAGATTCAAATGACCCGCACTTCACAGGCCGGCGCGATGGTAGTGGGGTCGCCCCATAGCCCCCGCTAACCGATTAGGCCATGTTTCGAAACATATGCACTTTTGTTCTCCTTTTACGAATGGCTGGATAGAGCTGTCTTTTATTCTCCATTCCCTAGCATAATGGATGAAGACAAGCACGAAAATGGTGGCGAGCTAGACGGGGACGACGCCACGGAGGACGAGCTGGAAGATGGGGAGCTCGATGAGGAGGAAGAGGAAGGAGAGGACGTGCTTGAAGAAGCAGACGCTAGCCAGGAAGAGATTGAGGAGGTCAGAGGATGATAAATTTTTACTAAATAAAAATTAGATGGAAAAGGAGCTGGATGAGGCTGGAAAGAAGGAGCTCGACGTGAAAGGCATCAAGCAGAAAAGAAAGATCAAGGAGAAGTACTTCGATGATGGCGATGATAAGGCTTTTGCGAGACGGCTTAAGTTTGTTCAAAGTTTGTACGTATAAGTGGAATTCAGGCGTCATCAAGCCGAGCTGGAGTTGGCGCGGATTGAGGGGGACGGTGAAGAAGAAGTCTTCAAGGACCTTGGGCATGATTTTCGGCTAAGCCGGACCGTTTGGGATACACTTTATCCGTAGGCTCTTTCTATAAGCAATAGTTTTCCGATTAGATTTCAAAAGATCGGCGTCCAGTGGCTGCTAAAATTGTACCGGGAGCGGGTGGGTGGAATTTTGGCCGATGAGATGGGCTTAGGGAAAACAATTCAGGTTTGGGTAATAGAATTTCGCAATGATGTTTTTAGACGTTGGCTTTTCTGAAAGCTCTTTACGACTCGAACAGAAATCGAATGGGGTATGTGTTGAAATTACATGAAAATAACTCGCAGTTCGCACGGGTTCGGCTCGACGTTGATCCTCTGCCCGGCATCGATCACCGTTCAATGGACCAAATATTGTCACAAATATCTCCCACTGGCGCGTACGATCGTGGGTCGAAAAGAATCTTATTTACCATTTTACACAGATCTTCCACAGCAGCGGTTCTTTCAAGGGAAAGCTGGCTTCGTTGGCGAAGCGTTTCGAGCCAAGAAGGTGTATAGACGCTTTTCACTAATGATTTTTTTCATTTAGGGACGGCCTGTTTGTCATCGTGCCCTACACGACCTTCATGGCTTACAGTCCAATTTTGTCGAAAAAGGAGTGGCGATCATTGGTTTTGGACGAGGCTCACATCATCAAAAATCCCGAATTGAGGGTTTACACTTTTAAAAGACTTCAATAAATAATAATTTAGCTAACTAAAGCCCTGAAAGTTCTGGCTACGCCTCATCGCCTCTTGCTGACCGGCACGCCACTACAGAACAACTTGAAGGAACTATGGAGTCTCGTCGATTGCGCATATCCGGGTCGGCTCGGCTCAATGGATCCGTTTATGAAGGACATTGCTATTCCGATTACGCGTGGTGGTTTCGGTAAAAATTCTACGTTTTCGGAACGTAAATTTCAGCCAACGCTTCGCCTATGATGAAGGAGACCGCAGTGAGGTGTGCCCATATTTTGAGGTAGACTGGGATGATTTCTAAAAATTATTCTGTTTCAGAAATGCTATCGGTCCGTATTTACTACGCCGTACAAAGGCCGGCGTCGAACGCGAGCTGAACCTGCCGAACAAACAGGAACAGGTGTGCGATGTTTCAACACCTATTTATTTTTCTGCGATTTAGGTCCTGTTTTGTGAACTGACGACAGAGCAGCGGGTCCTATATGTGGAATTTTTGCACAGCCGCGCCTGCCAAAGGTATTGTAATTTGATGGGAAAATTGTCGCGCTTTGCAGGATGATTGAAGCCAAGAACACCTTTCTGCCCTTTGCCGGGATTACGATTCTTCGAAAGTTGTGCAACCATCCGCATCTTATTGGGAATGCGTTTGCCGGTGCGTTACAGTTTGAATTCGTTAAAATTTCGTTCATAGGCGCCAGAACCTTTGCGGAATCCACAGCCTCCAAGGCGTTTGGTCATCCCTCGTTGAGCGGAAAGTTGGAAGTGACGAGGCGACTGTTGGCACTGTGGAAAAAGCAGGGCAGCAATAAGGTACGCAGGATACGGTTGGAGAAGTTTACTTTATTTGTCAGGTTCTCCTCTTCTCGCAAAGCAGGGTGATGCTCGACGTCATCGAGGCGATGCTCTTGCGTGATGGGTATTTTTGCGTTTGTCACGTATATTACCGCTTTTCTCTTTCAGGCACACCTACTTGAGAATGGATGGAAGTACGCCAATCTCGGCTCGCGATGGTATCGTATCAAAATATTCGCAGGTAAATTTTGGTTTTATTCTATTGGATGAAACCTTCAGGACGAATCGATTTTCGTCTTCGTCCTGACAACACGCGTCGGAGGTCTCGGCCTAAATCTCACATCGGCCAACAAGGCACGGCGAATTTTTAAACGCTAAAATTAATTAGGTGCTAATTTTCGACCCCTGCTGGAACCCTTCGACCGATTCCCAGGCCCGCGAAAGGGCCTGGAGAATTGGACAGCGCCGAGACGTTACGATTTATCGGCTCATTACGTATGGAACGATTGAGGAAAAGATTTATCACAGGTGCAGCGTTCCAAATGTCTTATTAGTTTTTTCAGGCAATTGTTCAAGGAATACTTAGCCCAACGGGTGCTCACAAAGAAAGCACAGCAAAGATTGTGAGTTTTTGAATTTTAAGCGGATATGCCCTTTTACAGGGAATTGAGCACCACTGATATTCGCGATCTGTTCACGCTATGTGACGACAAGGAAGAACGAACGGGCAGGGCTGAAAAGAAGAAGGCGAAGAGGGAAGAGAAGCTGGCTTTCAACCAACGATCCGACCGCTTCGACCAGTATATCCGAAAAAGATACCCTACCCTTTATTTAGACTCGTTTCGGCCGAAAGCGGCGCACGGAAGAAGGAACCGGCTGATGCAGATGTGCCCGAGGATGAGGAGGTTGTTTCAGGCTTTTTTGAAGATTATTTGCAATTTAGAGCCTCCCGACACTGACGGACGATCAACGAGCCGCCCTGGTTCATGAAGCGGCAACGAGGTATTTAACGAATTCGGACGAAGCGTTTTTGTGTGTCCTAGCTACTTTTTGAATTCCACTTTTAGTGATCCTACTATCGTGCCGGAAAAATGCGAACGATCGGCACGCCCTGCGGACTCAGCCGAGCTTTTTGATGGGAAATATCAGATTCCTTATTTGGTCAAGCATACGAAGGCCCGGCGCGATCGAAAGAGGGAGGAAGAAGAAAAGGCTGCGAAGGTGCGCCCTGAAAAATAGGGAAAAAGTGTGCTTTCAGACCGAAGACGGCGTGATGGCTTTCCTCTTGAAGCGAGGTGTACGAGAAGCGCTAAATCATGACGCTGTCCTCGGGTAGCATGGCTTTCTGAAAAAACATATTTCGTATTAACAGATACACGGAGCGAAAAAAGGTGGAAGAACACGAGAGGCGCGCACGCGGATTGATTGGCGAAAAAGAGTTTGTGTTATCTGGCTTTTAGGGTTATATAGCATTAGGAAAAAGGAAAAGGCAGCGGAAGAAGCGGCCGCAAAATTGAAAAAGAGGGAAGTGGACGAGCCACCTACCACCGGGCAAAGCTTTCTGGCTGCCGCTGGTTCTCGTTTCTTGGCTCGACCGGGTGGATCACAGGTATTTGATGATGAAGGTATGATGCGAACTACGTATTTTAGAATGATCTCCTCTCCGCTGTGCGGAAGCGGAAGTCACAGGAGCAACGCGAGGTCGAGAAATGTCTACCGCCACGTTAATCTCATTGTACCGTACTACTACGGAACTTGTTCTTTAACTTTTAGGCTTTATCCATTAATAACTCCTACATTCCCATTAATAATTGAAATACCATTGGCATGATTGTTTCCATTTTTGCACTGCCGATTATTGTCGGGTTCTTTGAGCTTCACTTATTCGCACGGGTAATAAACTTCATATCAGCTCCCGAAACGGGGAAGTACGTTTTTCTTGGGGGTTGACAGTGCGCATGTTTACCCCCGTTCTCACCTCAAGCTGGCGAGTGATAGCGGCCATTTGGGGTCTTTATCATAACCCCGAAAGGGTCAATTGCTTCTGCCCGATGCATTACTATCGAATTGGTTTGTTTTTAGAAGAGTGAAAAGGGTTTTTTTCGGATTTTAGCAACGCGTCTCTTCTCAAGTCAACGGGCCCTGGGTTCGTTTAGAAATAAAGGCACTATTTTTGGTGTTTACTAGATGCTGGCCGCGTCGAATTCGTACAGGCCACCCCTGCAGACCTTCCCCAAATTGTGGATATGTGTGTGGAGGGGTTCTCGGCCATCGAGCCGCATCTCAAGGTCTGTATGGGAAATATTTCTGGGATTTCTGACCCTTTCTTTGAAAGTGAGCTCTCTGGGGAGAGGATTGTTTTCATTTAGGCCGTCTTGGAAAATTTTTATTGTCTGTTTAGGCTATGGAATTTGGAAAAATGGCTAAATGAAACGAAATCAAAAAAGGTTATGTCCATGGCGACATTTCTAGGCATGGAAAATCGGAAAAGAGGCTCGGCCCCTTTTTGAACTGATTGGAGCGAATGCCTTGAAGCATCGCTTCTCGTACAAATTGATCGAGCAGGATAGCCAAGAAGTTGAGAGTTTAAAGTGCCTGAGAAAAAAAATGGTTTTAGCTAGTTGGATTTCGACTGTTCTCCCTTGGCCGGCGTGATGATCCGGAGCTGCAGCTCGACGGGATGAAACTGCACCCAGGGGTCCTGGGCCTCGGTAAGTAAATTACAGCTATCCTCCCAATTAACCTCGTCATTTATTAGCCGGAATGCTCGACTATTTAAAAGAAAGAATCCTTTGCACAGCTGCCGCACATCAACAAATTGATACGGTAATGTTTTTTATAACACAAAGTTAAGGTGGTTTTTAGGCGTGAAATTACCTTCGTCGTGCCGGAACTCCAGCGAAAGGGAATAGCCAATCGGCTGGCGCACCATGGGCTCGATTTTCCAAGTTTGAAGGTGATTTTGGTGGCTTCGCAGGATTTGATAAAATACAGATATGCAAAAGTAGCTAAAAAGCTACGGCTTTAGGCGGACGGAGTTCAAGGACTCATTTCCGAGGCCTCATCGCTGGCGAACCAAGAATTATTGAGAAAAAAGGGGTATCGTTTGATTGCCCAAGTGCCCCAAAGGTAATTTTTTGCATTAATTTTAGCTGGATGTAAGACTAGGGGTATATTTTTCGAAGCTCAATCTAATGGCGTTGCAAAAATCCCGAAAAAATAGCGAGATTTCGAAAAATTTTGGCAGTTTCACTCAACTTCCTTGGAGTTCCGGACCTTTCTTACATTTATTCCTTTCCAGCTACTACGACCGGCACGGTATCAAACTGCACGATGGTACCACGACAATCAAGGCCTATTTTAAGGATATTGAAGACGTAATTGCAGATCTGGCAAAGAGTCAATAAAGCGTAGGAATTTTTTTAAGTCTATCGACCGATTTTACGCCGCTATTTCCATATTTCGTATTTTGCGGATATTTCACCTAACAGCTCCATTCTGGGGTTAGGTTCTCGAATAAATCTGTCACTAACGACTCGCATTTATTACCAGCCATAGATTCAGCAAAAAAGGACCAAACAGTTCAAAAGTTAACAACCACAATGAAAATCCTGGACCGCGAAAACTAAAACCCCTTTTGGGCTCATTCTGGGGCTTAATGTTGGTAAACTTCACTTGCGAAGTGGAAACCGTGCTAGCTGTTTTTTATTGCCGACAAGGGTGCCAGCTGCAAAATTGTTTTATTTCTAGGCCTGAACATTTAAAATTTTGTAAGTTGCTCGGCCAAAAGCCCTTCCTCGAATGTCCCGTATGGCATCGGAGCAATCTGAAAAGACTCGTAAATCTCTAATACCGGTCTTGGCCTTGAATTTGTAGGAAAAAGTGAGAGGTGTAAACGTTCATAGGTGCACGCGGAACAAACAGTTAACGCGTCGCTTGAATATCAAAAAACCTAAGCCAATTTTCAAAGATTCGAGGAGTTGTTGTGTTTTTTATTCAAATACTGGGACTTACTTCACAAAAAGAAGCATTTTCCGTGGGTCTCTGCGCATACTGCTGCCGAGTTTCCGGTAGAAATCGCCATAGTATTACGAGAAAGATGGCGCTAAAAGGTTTTAAGCTTTTGTCCCATATTACCGATGAATACCTCGGTATAATGAAGAGAATATAGCTCCAGCCACCGATGGATTGATTTAGCGGGTAGAATAGAAAAGTTGTCAATGAAGAACTGGCCCAATTCACGGCTACAGCGACGCCAAGTGAAGCTGTCGCCGCCTCGGGGGGAACCTGGAAATTTGTGAAGTGAAGCTTAGGATTAAGCTTAGCAGAAGCTTAGGCTTATGGTTGAATTCGAAATTTTGCTCAGAACCCACCAATTCGGCCGCCAGAAAATAGGCGACTGGGCCGGTGCCCAAGTTATACCCAACACCATATAGCAGAAAAGTAAGCCCGAAAAGCCATGACGCCCACCAGTCTTCTAAAATATAGATATAAGAATCAATCGTAGAATATCTTAAAAAATAATCTATAGAAGAGGTTCCTATATTTTGGAATAACGGTAAATGGAAAGAAACCCAATTTTGTGAATAATTACCTGGATTTACAGCAAGCAACGAGAAGATGAGAAATAGCACGTCTGAGATCAAGCAAAGCGCCAGCGTTTTTAGAAGAAGCGGTCGACGTCCATAGGACTCGACCTGAAAGGAAAGACGCGATTAGTGATGTATTTAATACCTACCAATTGCAATGAGGGTAGCGTTAATATGATGGAAATAATACTGCCGAGGGCGGGTAGGAACGGGATCAGCCCCTCGAAGAAGGAGACCGATGTAAACATTCTGAATCGACGTTTATAGCCCTTTCGTCCTACGTCTTGACTTACGTTGTCGAATACGAGACGGTCGCCATACTCCCCGAAAAGATCTGAGTCGCACTCACGATGCCGCCGAGGAGAATACCGCGTGCGATTGCTGGGTTCCCAAGCGCGGTGCTGACCGGGATCTGAAACGTGCGCTTTTGGGATAGAAGACGTGCAATAAAAGGCAGAAAACACAAAATAACCTGTTGCGGTGTTTCGGGGACCAATTTCCAATATTCTTTGATGGCATCTTCCACATCGTCCACGTCAATATCGTAGTAGAACCTGGAATTTGTTGGTACTGAAGAGTTAGCGGGGGAGGTTAGCGAGGAGAGGTTCATTTTTATTTTTCCGCTGATATATAAAATGTTTCTTACTATCAACAATTCATCAAAAACTTTTGATTTTCTGAAAATTTGTTAGTGTTTAAGTACTTTGGCCATTTTCATGAATTTTTCTAGATATTTTTCTATATGAGAAAACGATGTTATAAAAGTAGTTTAGATTTCGTTATAGGATGATGCTTAATTCATTTTTAAGACAGCAGGGATTTCCTGAATTACGATTTTCTTTATTTATTCCCCAAGACCTTGCCGAACCTAATCGAATGCGCCGCCTGGGTGTAAGCCCCTTGCTGGAGTAGCCGATTAGGAGTGTCAGGCACAAAGAACGACGAGGTTAGCGCGGCCACTCCTGAAAATAGAAATAGCCTTAAACATCTTCCAACGACCAACCAAAAACCGCCGGAAATAGCAGGAGAAGCCCCCAAGTGTTGGCGGAGCCGAGCATAAAAGGTAGGGAAAGCAGGGCCGCCAGTGCGGTACCCACGCAGACCCCGATGTGAATCGAACACGACAGGGAGCCCTAGAAACAAAAATCCTTCAAAAATGAAAATGTTTGAACTGGCCTTGATTTTCTTTGGGACGACCTCTTGGATGAACAGCGGGACGAAGGCGCAGACGAGACCTGTGTGGATTCCGCTCAAAATTCTCCCTGAAAATTTAATTTAATTTAATTTATTTACGCAACAAGGGTCTAGTCTGGAGAAGAATAGATTGTAATTCATAAACAACAAAGATAAAAAACTAACCAAACAGCAGGGCTATGGGAAAGGTAAGCCACTGCGCAACGGCCATCGACAGCGAGCCGATCATCAGGCAAATCGAAGCGGCGGCAAGCAGGCTTGACTTTGCACCTAAAAGTTATTGTTTCATAGCTGTAATATTTGACACGTTGGAAGGTATCTAACGCATTAAACACATTTAGGTTTTCCACTTAAACCCTACCAAAGTGGCGATCCAGCGGGATGACCAGCACGCAACCGATCAGCGCCCCAATACTCTGTGAAGCGACAAGGATCGACCTGAAAAGGAAAATTTAGAGGGTTTGATGATAATAAGAATGGGTTACCAGATGATGTTGAGCCCGCTAGTGCCTAGAACGATGCCATGTGTCGAGTGGAAGCTGTCATTGATTGCTGTTTGGATGATTTGCTCCGGGACGTTCAACACCACCTAGGAGATCGCATCATGCCTTGATTCGGCGATATTTATATCCTACCATGTTGAAGCCGACCGGCAAGACGGTACATAATGAGATGAAGAGGGCTAGCAGGACGACTCTACCCTGAAAAAAACAGTGGTGAACCTAGCTTTTAGAGAGCAAACGACCGAAAAGACTATAACCTTCTTATAATCAACCTCTTGGCTATTTCTATCGATATACTTCGACATTTCACATATTGCTTTAACATTATAAATTACAGTTATACTTGGTACCTCAGTGGCCTACCTGTACTTCTGCATATCGCATCAATTCGGAGATGTGGGAGCCGACAACGGTACCCTGCAGATCGATGGAGGGAAAGGCCGAACTCATCTTCATCATCCGCTCAAAACAAACTTCATAACAAATAAACGAATAACCCCCACGCAACCGGGGACCCTTATCACCCGCCGGTGTCTCGAAAATTGTGCTCTGTACCCCGCACAACACCCTCAATTACAACGCTTCGGGCCTAAAAAAAGCCACATTTCTACACAGCTAGCGCTTGTCGGATGCTTCTGCGATGCATGACCTGGCATTTTAAACCAGCCATTTTCTCCTGTATTTCAGCAGCACAAATACAATGAAAATGTCACGAACTTGGGAGAGTAGGGGTGTATAACAAAAGGCGAGCCGACACTGCCGGAACTCTTCATGGGGGAAAAGAAAGGTTTAAAATTACCGCGTCAACGAACCGGAAAATGAGACCAATAGTTCAGGGGGAGGGCATCATCGTGGTAAAAAGTGGGGGGAGGGGAAGATAAAAATGAAGAATGGATTAGGAGATTTAGTGCATCCGGGACAGTTCTTCGACCAGCTTCAACACATTCTCCGCATTCTGGTCAACCGGTTCCTCTGAAGGACCAGGACGTTTCGACTGGCTCGTAGAACTTTAGGATACCTTGATTTGGGAGAAGCACATCTTGCACAATTTTCCTGGCCGTCTCGCGTGGCATGTCGAGCAGCGACTCCACCAGATCGCCATCCACAAATCCCTTTGACTAAAAAAAGGGAAAAAGTGGTCATGGATCCTGAAATCTACCGGAACGACGATTTGGTCCTTGTCGAACGCGCGATAAACCTCATGCGAGATGCGCATCGCGTTTCTGCATTGGCCGGCGACAGCCTTTTGGACGTCATGGGCGAATCTGAGAACAAGCAAGGTGCTATATATAGGCGAAATTAACTCACCGGTAGAGCTCCGGAGCAAGTGTTAGCACAGCGCCAATAGCTCCGTCGCAGGTTCCGTATAGAGTGGAGCTGTGGCTGAGGAGACCTCGAATTAGAAAATGAAAATACAAAAACACAGCAAAAAAATACCTCCGTCGACGACCCTGGTGACCATCGAACCTGTCCGGAACACGTTCACCAGATCGCCCAGATAGAAGCTACCAGATTCCTGGATGTGGAATATATGCGGCCGAGAAATGACAAGCTTACCACGCATCTCTGATCGGCATTCAGGTTCGTCTCGCGCTCGTTGGTGAAAATGTTGAAATTGGTGTCGGCGCCCAGGAATGTGTCACTGTCGATGATCTCAATCGCCATCATCCAATGGGTTTGCGGGTCGGGCCTGAAAGCTTTCAAATCCAGTCTGCACATTATTAAAATTAGCATAAATTCATTTTTTATTTAAATATTTGAATCGAAATTATTTGCCTGTTAGTAAAGAAAACGGTATCCCATTCCATCTACAATATATATTCCCTTCCGGGCCTTATATTGCTGGCGGCTTTTGGCCTACTCGAAGATGACTGAGAAACCGGGCAAACCCGTCGTCCCACCAGCCAATGGTGAAGCTGGCAAAGCGGAAGGCGGCGAAAAGGAGCAGAAGCAGAAGAAGCCGAGTGTGTGGAGCAAGTTGAAGACCAAGGTATCTTCACAGGACAGCATTACGTTACGGATTCGCTAGGTCGGCACGAAGATCGGCCTTGTCGAGAGGACGACGCTTGAGCCGAAGTTTGTCGAGGAGCGGCTGAACGTTGAGCGCTACCGTGCCAGGGTCGACCGGCTGCTCGACGGGTTTGAGGCTGTCCTTCAGGTGAGGACAGACTAGACTAGACCAGACTCCTACTACTGAATTGCAGCCAGACCCGAAAGTGTTGGCCATCCCGTCAAATGGTGCACTTCCGGTGGCCGGTGAGCTGTCGTGGGAGCTGCTGGCCCGTGCGTCAGGTGCTCTCCACTGCTGTCTCACCAATGACTACCAGGCACAATTTTTAATGTAGTTCGGGATGCCCCTATCTTCCTAGCAAGGTATGATGTGGCTGGTCTTGCTCGCCAACAAACTAGCCTGTATCGAACGCGAGGGACTGACGAGAAGTAAGCCGGCAAAGAAAGCCATGAAAGTCGACTTTAGTGCGCGGCTCCATTCGCCACGTCCGGCAGTTTGTGACGACGGACCACAAACGGATGAAGGAGATGGTGGAGAAGGTGGACGAGTGTCTGCACACGATGGATGCCACCAGGCACGAGGTGGAAGAGTACATCGGTGGTGTTGCAATCAAGGGCCCTCTTCTTCAGATCAAGGCGGCGAAGGCGCCCGATGAGCTGGAGCGGGTTGGAAAGATCTACGTGCGGTCGATTCGCGAATTCGACTCGACCTGCAAAGAGATCAACGAGGTCATCCAGACCCTCAACGATACGCGATACCGTCATCAAAAGAACACGGTGGCGGTAGGTAGTTCGGCATTGACAGCGACAGAGAGAGAGAGAGAGAGAGAGAGAGAGAGAGAGAGAGAGAGAAGATACAGGTAGCTTCCTTCTAGTTCTACGACATGATGGAGCAGTACCATCGGCGTATGGCGACGGCCATCCACGACGCCCTCAAGGACGTCAACCCGGACGGCATCCACAAAAATGAGCCAAAGCCAAAGGAGCGCCCGACCGCGGCTCGCCATTCGGTAAGAGCGAGGCTCTGGACTATTAGCTAATGTTTTGAATTCGTCATTTATTTTAAAAATTTACGAGTCTCTAAGACTGTCTGATACCTAAAAACGGCGCCTACAGTCAGATCAAAGCGTGTAGCGCTTACCGGGGCCGCTATGGCATGATACGATAAAGTGTCGCCCTATAACCACCCAAAAAACCCAAGCTAGCTACGTGAAAATCCCGCATACCATCCCTAGATGATGAACCGCGTGGCCGTGGCCGCCACGTCGACCGAGCAGCACACGAAGGAAAAGACGACCGATGGAAAGACAGAGGGAAGGACCGAGGGCAAGACCGATGCCAAGACTGAGACAAAGGCCGACGGAAAGACCACGACTGAAGGCAACAAAGAAGATGTATGCCCTCATCATAAGCACCTTCTATATTTATTTAGCACGAAGAGGAGAAGCCGGAGTAGCCGACGAGCGCCACCACCATCAATTAAGCCCCCCTTTTTTGACACCTGTACCATTACAGTATCCTTTTCCATGAATGTATATGAACCGTGAATTTTCCTGGGATAAATGGTATTAACTGGATGCTAAGTTGATGCATAAAAGAACATACCGTGCCGATTCCTCAAATGACCCTTCGACAGCTTTGTAGGTGAGCAACCCCATCCCGCGAAGCATATCGCCCACCAGCAATAGATCTCCCTAGACAACGATTTAGAACGTAATCCCAAATCCCACCCTGGTCTTGACGTACAGTGCCTGGATGTACTGGAAATGCGAACAATCCAGCTTCAGCTCCTTGTCACGATTCCATTCAAAAAGCCGAACCGAGCTGAAGCGAGGGATTAGATTTTGTTAGAAAGCCAAGTAATACCTATTAACCGCGGCCAGCAGCTTTCCATTGAGGATTCCCATCGAGTAAGTGCAGCCCTTCATGTCCTTCTCGCTGATGATCGACATGGCCGCCCGGTCGTCCTGCTCGCAGTCGAACACGATAATGCGACCCTGAAATCAAAGATGGATTTGAAAATGGTGACTGTGGAAACCCACCGCCTTGCTCTCGGTTTCCTCAAGCGCAATCATCGTCGTCCCCACAAACACATACCACTTCGGGTCATCGCCGAGACGGGCAGCTAAAGTGGATACTGTAGAAAGTAAGAACGATACCGATCAGTGATTGTGCCTCCTCGTTCGGACCAAGCTCGTGCGAGTGCAGCACTTCGAACGTATTCCCGTCTAGCACGACGACGCTGTGGGTCTGAAAAGTAGAAATAATTATTAGGATCCTTGGTATAGAGGAATTGCTAGAAAAACTCGAAAAATTTGAAATCCGGTCGAAAAGCCCATACTTTTGAAATCTTTAACCAAACGAAGCAAAGTTTCTGCGTCTAGGAAAATCAAAAAAGAACAACGTGGAACTCCTCCCATAAAAGCGGGGCAATACGAAAGAATGGATTAATAAGACCAAAACTACCTCAAGCGGCGTGCTCCTTGTGGCGATCTGCGGCGGTACGAGCTTTGAGGTTGAACTCCGGCTGGCCGTACGGGAGATCGACATTGCCTCTGAGGACTGCACAGAATTTGTCAAAACACCGAGTTCTGCCTACCTTGTCTCGGCATACCAGCAACACAATCTTGTTCGAATCAGGCAGATAAGCCAGTCGGGATGGCGATTCACCAAGTGGTACGGTTCTAGGTTACTATAAGAGCATCACTAGCGCCCCTACCGGATATGCAGCTTCTCAATGTCGTCGACTCGACCGATGACCATCGACTCTTCCCCACACATCACCATGCAGTTCCTAGAAAAATTATCTTGAAATAAATTCTCTTTCAAACTTGTAGGCCGCTGCGTTTATCGGACACATTTGACGTACGGTGCGCACATTAATGTTGGAGAAGATCTGCAAAACACATAATTTTTCCTTCTCAATTTGCTCGCGAATCGACTAAAGAAAAGAACTTACCAATTTCCCATTGCACGCATAAATAATAGCCGGCCGATCCGAGCAGACGAAAACATGAGATCTTTCTTTGGCCTTGAACGGGTTCAGCAACAAGGGAACCGTTCCCAACGACACCTTCTTGCCGTCGACGAGAGCGCCTAAAGAGAGTCAGAATATGACAAAGCGCCTTTAACGATCCACCTTGTGCCGCTTCGTCAACTCGGAAATAAAAAAGTGTGCCGTCCCCCAGAGCTACCAGCAAGAACAGCGTTTCGTCAAATCGGGAGAGTAGACAAGACCGCGGAAGGACCTTTCGTGAGAGCTGATCTCTAAAGGCAATTCCTAGAGGTAGTCTAAAATGGTCATTACGTCGAAAGTAGTCGCAGATCGGGAAGGGTGCGCAGCTCGCAACTGTTCGAGGTCCAAAGCCCAATTGCTGCCAATCGAGCCTCGTCCGAGTCGTCTGAACTTAGAAGTGTTATTCCCAACACAACTACAGACCGATAGATGAGATGTCCAAGCAAGCCGCTTCTTGCTCAAGCTCCAACGAGTTCAGCTCGCTGATCTCAGTTCCGTCAAAGTTCAAGTAGTGAAGGTATCGACCAGATGCAATAAGCGCCTAAAGCAGAGGTGCCAAATGAGGGTATCGCTACCTTTCCAGCCCTAATATTTACGGAGCTGACACTGATCTCGCCGTGTTGAGAGGTCCATTTGATTAGGACAGCTCCCGCCTTTACGATGCGGATGCCGGTTTGGGTGATCTAAAACGTATATAATCAGAAAAGAATCTTTTTGATCTTACCTGGATTATATTGCCTTCTTTTGTACAAGCAGCGTAAAGGGTATGTTCGTTTGTCTCCAAGCCTGAAAAGAACAGCATTGTTTTTGCCATAACTTGACGGCCTGGAACAAAGAAAATTCGCCGTGCCTAACGCATCTTCAAGCTGCTCCAACTCTTCGCCGTCAATGCGTAACACGTGCGTTTCATCGGAAGTGGAGACGACCAGGTGGTTGTCGAGCTCAGATTGGTAGGCCAACGTCGAAATTGACTTGATTCCTAGAAGATGCAATGCTTGACGGTGACGGCAACAAAAATCTACCATAATAGTCCACCGACGCCCGTTCATCGATGCCAATACCAGTCCTGATGATACGCATCGAACCGTCCTAAATGTGTCGTTAATAAAATGACGTTAGTCCAACCTTGTAGGCGCCAGAGCATGTAAACAGTTGACTTTGCCCATTTTCAGCTTGCAAAAGGAGCATATCCCGGACGGGGCCGACATTTTGGAATGTTTCGATCACAGAGACGAACGACCCGTTGACATCAGGTTCTAAAAACAAATTCAGGATCTGCATGGTCAAAATACTCTCGTTGAGGTGGATCAGCTGCGAGTCTCCCATACGAGAGCCAATGAAGACAACACCATTGTCAACATAAGTCACGCATTCTGGCATTGAGCAGCGTCCCAGTGTTTCCACCTAAATTGCCGTGATAACTTAGGTAAAAGGATGTGGCTTACTTTGATTCCAGATACAGTTCCCTCCTTTGTGTCCGTGTCCAGCAACAGCATAAAAAGCTCTCCAGGCTTTGCGCCGAGCAGAAAGCGCTGTCCATTACTAAAGAATTCTATAACAAAGTTGATATTTCCTTTACGGGTCGATTGGTGCCGAGCAGGTGATCAAGGTGTTGTGCATGATGTGTGGCGCAATGACGATCGCAGGCTGAGCCGGACGTTCGCTGAATATCCGTAAAAATGCTGAAGCGTCCTTACAATCTGTGATACATGATGGTGTCGCGGCCAATGGCGATCACCCCGCCGTAGGGCTTTGGGACCGGGATTATCGTGTGCGCCTGAAAGTTGAAAATTATTGGACTGGGCTGGTACCCAGATCAAAATTACACGTGTAAAAACAGCCAAAAATTTACACGCGTGGTAAAAAAATTACACGTCAAATTTACACGTCACTTTTGGGATTTACACGCGTGTAATTGAGTTTTATATGGGTTTTCAAGGAAACATGGCCGAAAATTTACCCGCGTGTAAAATTTTTACACGCGTGTAGCCATAGTGGGCCAGGGATGGGCCATGAAGGGTTAATTCTAATCTTTTTTTTCGAGTAGTTTTACGCCAGGGAAGGAACCTAAAGCTATCGGTAACGGGTTTCATAGCTTTTTAGCAAAGTGCAGTAAAAGTGGGAAGGGTGTTTTGAGCTGCGTGAAGGCATTTCTAAGGTGAACTGAGTGGGCAAATGACATAAAACTTTCTAAATTCTCGCACTTTCGCCAGTTTCGGGTTCCGTATGGTATAAAAAGCAAACTGAGCCGATCCAATTAGTTTCGACCAAATATGTGGGCGCGGTTTTTGACGAATTGTCAAAATACGAATGTTACCTACAACGGAAAAACCTTTAAATTTTTAGGTGAGAAAATTACATTCGGAAAAATGGCGAAAGCGCGAGAATTTAGAACGTTTTATATCATTTGACCACTCAGTTTACCTTAGAAATGCCTTCGCGCAGCTCAAAACACCCTTCCCACTTCAACACACGTGTAACTGAAATCGGAAATTATATATATTGTTTAATTTCGTTATTTATAATTTGTTTCTTGTTGTTGTTGATTGTTCTCGTTGTCGCTTCGGTCATAAATTTTACATTTGATACGCGCAAAGATCTACCAACGCGATTTGGCGAGAAATTTTTGACTTGAAATTTTACACGCGTGTAAATTTTTAGGTAAGAAAATTACATTTGGAAAACGTGTGTAAATCGCTCAAAAAAAGGGCCTTCACAAAACGGCATATAAAAAAATTTCCAGGGCACTTAGCGATCCAACTTTTTTTTTGCTCACTGTTGGTACCCGTCTGCAGCTTGTCTCGTTTTAACTTTTCCAAAAAAATATTTTTCCGATTTGCTGGAGGCTTCCAAAGTTGGCGTGTAAATTTTTGGCGCTCGCGTGTAATTTTTTCGGGTTTTTCCCCCGTCCCCGAGCACGTCACTTTTTTTTACCACGCGTGTAAATAAAAATTACACGTGTGTAAAAAATTGTAGAATTTCATACGCGTGTTTTTTCATTTGCTAACAAATTTGTTAAGGAAAATTTCGGAATTTACACGCGTGTAATTTTTTTACACGCGTGTGTAAAAAATTACACGTGTGGTAAAATTTCAGGCGTGTAATTTTGATCTGGGTACCAGCCCTGATGTGAAACATCAAATCCGCTTTGAACTAATTAGTGAAACCGCGATAAAAGTTATAGAAGTCGAAATGCAAAACAATACCTCGGCCTCAATATGCGCTAGTCGTTCTTCGGCATTCTCTTTATGATGTGGAACAGCGGCATGGTGGCCCGTCTCGACGGGGATCACTTTGATATGACGTCCAAGTGGGTCCTGGTAGATGTAGGCAATTTTCGGAGCTGAAAAAATTAGAGGAAGACAAAGTCGATCGTACTGTCAGTGTCCAGGAAGGCCAGATCGACAATGGACGAGTCTTCGATGCGCATGTTGAAAGCCTAGATATATCCTATAAAAGGATCGGAATGGTATCACCGTGATTCCCTCGGTGGTGCTGTCCTTCCAGGTGATCACTTTCAATGAACCGTCATAGATACGGATGACTATCAGCTGAATCAATAAATAGAACAAAAAAAATCTAAATTTACCCCCGTGCGCTTATGTACGAGCATCTTGATGCCGTATTCGGAAGGCCGGCCAACTTTCTCGACCAAATTGCCCGTCGCCCGGGTCCGCTAAAAAGACGGATCTTATTGAGAATAAAAGTTATTACCAATTCCCCATTCTTCCAGTCCAATATCGAGATATGAAGCTTCTCCGTCAGCACAACCAGCAAATCTGTTGGCTAAAAGGAGTCGCAATTTAATTTAATTATAGGCGTTGGCAAGAAATTATGCGTTAATGCCCTACTTCTTTCGGAGGACGCATAATCGCGATGGCAGCAATGCGGCCAAAGATAGGGACCTAAATATCTGTTGTTGCTACAGACGCGCCTGACAAGCACCTCTTGAACCAGCCGCAGACCATCCTTTGCCACAGCATGAATTTCGATACGAGACATCTTGGACAAGAATAGGTTCAAATCATCGGGACCTATGATACGTCAAAGAAGACAAACCAAGCAACCTGTGAAATTTCCCAGAAGAGCCTGGGTGACCACAGTGGCCTTCTTACACGTGACGACATAATTTGATGCCATCTGAAATTACTAGCCCTGTAAACAGCGTTTGCGTCTGGTGACAAGCTAGGAAATAAACCAGATATGGGCAAAAAGAAAACCTCGGTGCACACTTATTTCCAAAAAAGCCAAAATTGTTTATTCGTAACCGTCAACTACGCCATTCGGCAAATTTACAACATAAACGAGATCATGTCCTAGGGATATCTATTGGATTTGCTGGAGCTTCGCCAGTTGTTGCTTGGGAAACCGGAAAAGTGGGCCCGCGCCTCGTAGTCGAATCTTTTGCAGTTGTTTCGTCGCCTTTATCGACCCTCTTCTTGAATCGCAAAGGCGCACCTAGACAAGGAGAAGATTGTTAAACGGTTATTTAAAATAATACGTACCAGCGTTGCATCGGCTTCCAAAAGCGTCAAATCCTTCTTGGATCCCAGGAAGCGTTCACTCAATTCATAGGCGTGAAGTCTATAAAAGAATTGGCGGCTCCAAATGAGAACTCACCGTAACAGCACCCTCGAGCCAACAGTATAATCGTCTCCATCTTGAGCCGGCGCTTTGCAAACGGCATTGAATTTTAGGCCAACATCAATGTATAGGTCATCCGCAACACTAAACCAGATTTAATTTGAGAACCTGCAGGTGTTACCGATGAACAATTTTCCCGGTAACCATTCGCCCATCGAAGTCGCCGAGCTGGGCAAACTTGGAATGCCTAAAAGTCTTATTGGAATCTAGGAAAATTTGGATACCTAAACATTTCAGCAAAAGTCTGATGCTTCGTGGCTGTACTAGCCTTCAGTGTGTCGACAAAGTCGTCGAAAGACCCGGGGTCAGTCTGAAAGGTAACTATAAAAAATTTCAGGGGCTTCACCTGATTTTTCGACTCTGGGTCGGAATTTGCTTGGTGGCGGGACAAGCATAGCCGACGGAAGGATGAGCTGACCATCATGGCACGACACGGACCTTGGATTCGAACGATCATCTAAAAAAACAGCTAATCAGTCGGATCAACACGAAAACAAAAAATCTTATTGGAAAAGGAGGAAACCATCGCTCTTTTTTTTTTTGAAAATAAAAAAAAGAGTCCCCAGTGCACCAAATTCCGAACAATCCGAAGCGATACGCAGGACAGTCTTATAAAAAATTTTTAGACAGAAAAATAAAGTTATTTCCGAAACTTCACTCTGCGGCGGCTGTTTTTCAAGCTTTTTTACTGTTTTCAACTATGTTTTGCGCTCTTTTCACGAATTCTTTGACTTGATCCAAAGCAAGGCGGGTCCTGGGGCGCGGGCCCTAATGTTGTGTGAAGGTCGCAGCGAGGAACGAGGCGCCCGTTGTTTCGATCGGTCCTTTGGGCGGCGAAGACTCGGGAAGTGTGCCCGGGGGGAACTCGCGCCCGCTGACTGCGGTCATGGCCATGACACCACTTTATTTCCGCATTTGTCTAGACGGCTGTCACCAGCAAGGGATTGCGTTCGGACCGAAAACAGCGACTCCTTCTCCTAGCCCGACCTCTAAAACTTGAAAAATTGATCATAGCATTTTGACTTTTGCTTAGGGCTATCGACTTATGCAACTTCATCACGGCGTCATTAGTGCTTAGATTTCTCGTTCCGGAGAAATTTCTGCTAGCGGTTGAATGCTCGGACTAGCTGTAGAGTTCCAGTACACGAATCTGGCAAGTCGTGCCCAAATCGATCGCATTTGGCCGCCGTAAAGCTTTCCCAACGCCTGTGGCTGAAAATGCCAAGCTCGTTTTACGAGAATTGTTGGACGGCGTGGCGGGATAGCAAGTTTCCTAGCATATAGCTTAGCTATACAGTTCGCGAATTTGGGAAAGCCGATGCCTTGTCTGGTAGCTTCCCTAAATAGATTGCTTGTTTTGACGCCTACTGACCTGGCTTGATTCCGTTTAAAAGGGAGACCTGCGCCTTTGTTGATGTTTTAGCAAACGTGGATGTCAAGGGTGTGCATGACATCGATTCTTTTTTTTATTCACGCGGTGACTGGCCATTGGGAGTAGTTTTGCAACAAAAATGCGCCCAATATGGTTGGGAAATCTCCACCATCTACAGCTCTTGTTTTTACCCGATCAATACGACTTATTTTTAACCCCGGGCCCTGCACGTGGCGTTCAACGTCACTTGAATTTACCGCTTCTCTTTCGCCCGTCCCCTCTCTTCACCCTTCTTTGTTGATTATCGATTGACACGGGTGTTCTGTTCAGACTCGCGCTCGCTCTCTTTTGCCGTGCAAGCCTTTTTTCAACGAGATGTCGTGTAGCAGCGATGACCAATCTGATAAGGAGGTAAATAATTTAGCTGTTTTTGATACCACGTTTTTTTAGTGTCCGCTCTGCATGGAGGTGCTCGAACTCGATGATTTGGATTTCTATCCCTGCAAGTGTGAGTACCAGGTGAGCATATTTTTATGTTTTTGAACTGGCCATAGATTTGCCGTTTCTGCTGGCATCGGATTCGCAATGATGAGAATGGGCTTTGTCCCGCTTGCCGGCAGCCCTACCCCGAGGATCCCGTCAACTTCAAGCCCCTCACGTCTGCCGACTTGAAGAAGATCCGCAGCGAGAAGAAGATGAAGGCTCAGGCGGAGAGACAACGTGTTTCCGAGGGGCGGAAACATCTCTCGAATTATCGTGTTCTCCAGAAGGTAGAATTTTTTGCAAGATATAAATTTTTTTCAGAATCTGCTTTATGTGGTCGGGTTGTCTCCGCGCGTTGCGGATCCGGAGATTCTGAAGAAAAGCGAATATTTTGGGCGTTTCGGCAAAATCATTAAGGTAGTTTTTGTAAGGTTTCGCCCCCAATTTCGGTAATTTTAGGTTGTTGTTGGTACGACGACTACGGCACCTCCAAATCTAAATTCTAGTCACACGGCTTATGTGACCTATGCCAAGGTCGAAGAAGCTTTGCGGGCTATTCAGGTGTGCTTTTCTAGTAGACTGTATTTTCCTTGTAAATTTTTAGTCCGTAAATAACGCGGCCTTGGATGGTCGGTTGGTGCGCGCTTCTTTGGGCACAACGAAATATTGTTCTTCGTTTTTGCGTGGCCAGCTATGCTATAAACAGGTATTTCATCCTCGGTTTCCGTTTATTGATTTTCAGGAATGTATGTACCTCCATGATGTTGCCGATTGTGACATTAGTTTTACAAAGTATGGTTCGCCGCTTTTAATTATTTTTGTTTAGGGAAGACATGCACCAGGGAAAGCACACCGACTATGAGCGTCGTCTGATCGAACAGGTAGTTTGCCGAAAAAAGATTTGGTTAGTTAGCTTTTCTAGACTCTGCGTCCGATGCCAACCCCGGTTGCTGCTGTCGCGCCAACGGTGCGTACGATAAACAGTTCGACAAGCCTGACGTCGGTTGGCGATGACCGATTGATGAAGTAAGACAATTATTCTTGAAAACGTCGCTTTTTTAGCCAACGTGTTCAAAATGACACCTCTTCGGAGAAGGAAATGGAGGATGGTAACCTATCGATCGATGATGTCACGTGTGAGAAGGATACGGATGTGCTTACAGACCAGGTGAGGCAGCTTCGGTTGAATTCGTTGTTTTGCTCCTTTCTTGTCATTTTTTTTGTAAAGACATTGCTCTTTTTCAGATCTCTGAGGATGACCCGCCAGTGAGGGAGTGCAGTTCCGAGGCGCAATCGACACTTGAAACATACAATGCCCCATCGATGGGAAGTGGTGTGACCGATGGTACAGTCCTGGCGACTGGGCGTAGCCATTCGCAAGAGGAGACGCCGCAATGGGAGCCTGACCAAAATACGCCAGCGCAAAGCTCGCGTCTGCTGTCTTGGACGAAGAGCGCCCAACCAACTACAGGTTTGAATTCTTTCTGCAGCGCCTATGTAAAGTTTAGTTGCTTCGGACATCTCTTCATCTGCAGTTCCCACATGGCAGCGGCTTCTGGGAATGGACGGTTCGTCCGTGTCGGTGGCACAACCCTACGTCAATGGTCATGCGCATCTCAACCAAACTACTGGGGACGCACTGCTGACCGGTGCTCCGCCCGGGTTATCCCGTAAGTTGTTCCCCTTGCCTTTCATAATAAACTTTGCTTTTCAGCGATCCCTCGCCCTGTGATGAGCAACTCTACCCAGGGCTTCAGCCGGCGCGGCCCTTCGCCGCCGCCTGGCTTGGGAGGATTTGATTCTGACGACGACCTTGGCTTTGATCCGATCTTGGAAAGCAGAAAAGGATTGGCTGTCTTACTTGACGAGGTTAATCAAGCTTATCGTTTACAACATTTTTGTAGGAGAAACGCTACCAGCCGCCCATTGTTAAACCTGCGCAACCAATTAATGGATTCAGCAATTATCCGCCTGCCCAGTACGCCAACACAAATTTTTTCGAGGTTGTGTATTTAGGCCATCGAAGCAGCCGACGATTCCGCACGAGGAGTTGCAACGGCAACAGTTCCTTGCTTCGGTCCATCTGCGGCAGCAGCAGCAACAAGCTGCCGCACTTCATGAGCAACAACAAAGAGCCCAGCAGCAACGCGATCGTCAAGAATTGTCGGCGGTAAGTATTGACTTATCGACTATAGGCTCCAGAAGCTCGTTTTTTTTTTCAAAAATACGGTTGACTTTTGTAAAACATTGATTTTAGGCGCAAGAGCAGTGGCTGCGTTCGATGCACTTCCAACAGCATTCGGCCCCTTCACAACCACAAGCTGACTTCCCCGGACCACAGCATCACGCTGGTCTTCCGAACATTTTCCAACACAACAACGTTCCGAAGAACCATATCAGCCCCTACGACCTGTTCAATCAGAGGTGATTTTTTTGCGCGTTGGTCAATCCCGTTCATAGGCCTGAGCCAGCGTCTGTGGCTCCTCCGCCTGGCCTGCACCCGTCTCGACAGTCGCCCCAACAGAGCAGTTTTTATAATGCTTTCGTAAGGACTTTTAACCGAATATTTATTTTCGATTTAGCAAACACCTGGATTGCACTCGTTGGCGTCGGCCAATAAGGGAAACAGCAGCGAATGGCAAGATGGATTGCGAGCTCTTTTGCCAAACGTCAATATCCGGTTCGCCTCCGAGCACGAGCAGCAGCAGCAGGTGCGTTTTATTTCCTCTTGTAAAAGAAATGGCCGTTATCAGGGATTATCATGCTTTTTCAGAGCCAAAACCGCTGGCCGAATGGTAGCGTAAACGGGATGATGGGGATGAACATGCATCAGATGGCGACTTCTTTGATGGGCGGAGACCCGCGGCGTGTTCATCATCACAATCAGCACATCCCTCCACCGCCCGGTTTCGCGACGCGTACTGGCGAGCGTTAAATTTCCCCGTGCCCCCATCTTTTTTGTGATAGATGGCCTATACTCGAATGCACGCAAAGGGCATTCCTGTATAGCCCTCTCGCTAAATGGTCTTTTCCGTCCTGGTTAGTTTCCCCCTTCCCCCATCTCCTCCGGCTTCGTATCGGCGTTTTGAGAATTAACATTTCCTTCATGTCAGTGAAGACTATTTTTTGTTCCTTTACGCGGTGGGTTGCAGCCCAAACGATTCTCGTTTTGCGATCACCGTTAAGACTGTGGCACCCCCCGATGTTGCTCACACTGCATAAAGGAACAGACGAGTCATGGAATTGGAGTGTTGATCTTATCCCCCGGAATGCGGTACTTCTGGCGATTGTTCTCTGGTCCTTTTATACACCGTACTTGTACGAGAAGCTCCCCACGTTGGGATGACTGGCTCGATTTTTATCCCCTTTTAAATCAAAGTCATTGACAGCGTGTGCCTGTTCCGATTTGGAGGGCGTGCACCTTTTGGACCGCGGCGGCCGTTCGTTAAGGACGGACGTGGGGATGGCGTTAAGACATCCCACTCCATCATTCCATTTTTAGTTTTACCTGGGCCTCGCTATTAATTTTAAATAAACCATTTTATCAATGCATGGTGGACAGCAGTGTAACATTATCACATTAGTATACAGTTAGCCCGTAATTTTGGGTCTGCTTTGACAGAGCACCGAGTGCTTCACAGCCGTTGCTAGCCTACGGGGGGCTCCAAGGGACGAGATCCCTTTACCGACGCGTCAAAGGGACCGAGGCGCAGGTGTGAGCACTTGAAATGCGAAAACTTTGGCTTGGAGGCTTTCTATCGTTTTTGACCGTCAAAATTGAGAATTTTTCTGATATACGAAGCGTTTCAGCATACCCACCTCGGGTGATGTCCTGCAATGGAATTCGATTATAACGAGCGCACATCGAAAGGCGGTCTGCCTTCGCCTTATGACAACGGACCAGATGGTTGGTATTTGCTAATTATCTTCAAACTTTGCCTACCATTGATTCGTAAATATTGTTAATTTTGTTTTTGCAGAGGCCCCGGTCGAGGCTCACAATGGTGGGTTTATCGCGCTGGCCAAGCATGATTTGTTGCGACTCGTGGATTTGATTGCCATGGAATTGGATAAGCGGGACGATGCTATACAAAAACTCAAGGTTTGTTATGCATAGCTTTTGGCCGTTCTGTTGACAGTTAGTAAAGGCTAAGCCATTATTTTAGGAAGAACGGGCCCGTCATTTGTACTTCGAAGCCAAATATGGGCGAATAGCCGCAAACGATCCACTGCAAGCTTTGAAACGGGACAGCGAAGCATTCAGCGAGAAGATCGACGAGGAGCAGATTGGCAGGTGAGCCTTTTGAATGTGTAGATTAGGGCTTGAAGTTACGTGTATGATTGCCTTAACCACACGTTATAGACTCTACGAAAATCAACTCGCCCAGCTTGATAAATTGATATCAACACATCGTCGCACACATAATCGCTCGAAGATGGTAAAACTAGGCACGCCCTCAGGAGACCAGTTTTAGATTCTCGCGGCCACGGAGCGGAGACACACCAAGGCGCTGCGGGAATTGGAAATGGAGAAAGAACGGAATTCCAAGTAAGCTTATCCTTGATATTTTGCTAAATTCATATTCAGGAATTCGCAAGGCGACGATGTGGTAGCTTTTCTAGAAAAGGAACGGGACAGGCTGCAACAACAAGTGCGTTGGTTTTGAACAAAATGACCGCTGCTGTTCCTTCATGGAACATTTTTTTTCAGCTGGACGCCCAGCTGGATGAAGTGGAAAAGGTAAAACAGGAGACGGCAAAATGTCAGCAAGAATTGCAAGAGGACAAGGAAAAACATAAGGTAAGCTTTTTTCTACATTTCTGACGCCGGTTTCAGACCATGATTTTATTCCTGGTGAATGAGAGAAAACAGATGTTATTGAGAATGCAAGAAATGAAGCTGCGGTCGGATTCGACGAACGGTTTGTTTCTAAGAGGCCAAGATTTTAAAGCTTCAACTGAGAGCTGGCTGATGTTTTTGTTTTCAGGCAGTGATTCAGCCGCCGCGTTGAAAACCGAGTTGGAGCGGTTACGCATTGATCGGGACACCCTGGCTGCGTCAAATAAGACGCTTCGGGCGGAGAATTTATCATTGAAGGTGTGTGCTGTCGAGGTTCAAAAATTTCGTTTTAGGAAGTGGTCAAAGAACAGGATGCCGAGGTGCAGCAGCTCCGACGGAACATGGCGCGAAATCCGAACGATCAGGTGAGAAAATTATCCTATTGTTGTTCTCATTTTAATATACTCTGATGATTCGTTTCGTAGGCTGCCTCGACGGCTGAGTCATCGTTGGTGATGGCGAATCGTATGGCCTCGGGGACGCATCCGGGACCCGCGTCTCGTGCGACCAAAATATCTTCATCATCATCATTCCCCTCCACATCTATTCCATTTCCCGAATCGCGTTTACCAAGGGCGCCGCCGCAGACGACACCAGCCAGGCGAGTGCTTACATATTTGCCTTAAAGGGTTTTCCCCTCACTAACATAAAGGCTGTTGCTGCTGTCCAACAGATTTTTGATAGTTTCTCCACTTCAAATATAACTTAAAAATACCAATAATGACTGGAAATCCTCTGCCCACCAGAAATACTCAAGAACCGTCAGCTTGATTCTGCGTTCACGAAGCTTCCATTTTAGACCAAAAACTATCACGAGATTGCCGACAACTCCTGCGACCGTGCGTGGCCCCGCTTCACCCACCAAAAAGACGCCGGCGATGGGGTTGAACAGCGTGCGGAGGTGAGTTGCCGTTGTATTGCCTTTTTTTTTGTTGATAAATCGAGTTGCCATCTTATCATCATTCACTTTCCAGGCCAACTAGCGCAAACACCCCGGGCCAATCGAACGCATCGAAATTCTCCGCCGACCCGGAGCTACAACAGCTAGAAGATGCGATCAGTGAACTGGAGAAGACTGGCATCAGCCATCAAGCGAGCCGGCAACAGACTGGCGCGCCGATACCGCCACGTCCGACAATGACAGCTACTTCCCCTTCTACGAACGCAGCAAGCACTGCTGCAGCCATCCGGTACGGTTTACGACGGCTTTTTGAATATCCCGATTGCAGGAGTCCGAGCGTGCCTTCCCCAGCCGCTCCCTCGAAAACGGAGAAACCGGTGGAGCGCAAATTGTCCGGCACGATCAAGAAAAACTCCTTCCTGAAGGCGTTTGGTGGCGGAGGGAAATAGCCCTGCAAACGTATACAGGGTGTCCCAAAAAAAAAGACCCCCCCCCAAAAATTTGAGCCAGAGGGCACCTAGAGAGCTGAAAATTTGCACAGAGGTAGCGAAGGCAATTTTCTATGAACAAGGAAAGTTTCAGCCCGATCGGCCAGCGGGTTTTAAAGTTATAGCGAAAATACGTTTCATTTTTTATTTAATATGGGGATCTTTGCAATTTGCATCAAAGATATGCGTTATTCTTGCATTTACGAGCCGATTTTGCATAAATTTCGCTGAAAAGTGCCATTTTCTTGATGGAGCTTTTGGAAAACGATTGCTCATGTAGCGAGAAAATGATCAGCAAGAACGATGAATACCAGACCTCATGGCGGAAACTATCGTTGAACGCTTGAGCCTGGCTTAAACTTCAGCGTACGTGCCAACATAAGCCCAAATCTAAACTTCAACACTGTTTTCGAGCTCGTCGAACTCTGTTTTCGGGCCGACGAAGCTCAAATTGCCAAAATGGACAATAACAAGTGATTTGGATCGATAAAACAGTTGTTTTAACACTCTTTTTATTCTTCGTACGCAATCGTTTTCCAAAAGCTCCATCAAGAAACTGGAATTTTTCAGCGGAATTTATGCAAAATCGGCTCGTAAATGCAAGAATAACGCATATCTTTGATGCAAATTGCAAAGATCCCCATATTAAATTAAAAATGAAACGTATTTTCGCTATAACTTTAAAACCCGCTGGCCGATCGGGCTGAAACTTTCCTTGTTCATAGAAAATTGCCTTCGCTACCTCTGTGCAAATTTTCAGCTCTCTAGGTGCCCTCTGGCTCAAATTTTTGGGGGGGTCTTTTTTTTTTGGGACACCCTGTAGAGTATATTTTTGTATTTCCCCCAGTTTGTACACACCCTTGACATTGCCCAGCATCAACTAGTCCTTGGGATAGTCCCGCTTCCTCCCCCCCCCCCTATATCGAGATTTTTCTCATACGTTCGTTCAGTTACTGTACCCCAATATGGACACCCAGGCATAATTCATTCTGTCAAACACGAAACACGGCTCCTCTCTTACCAATCATCATCAGTTACGATTCCTGTTTTGGTCAGTTTGTGTGCAATATTCCCCACGCAACTAAACAGCCTAACGCAACAACTTTGCCAGTCATCTTTTCCAGTTGCCCTCCCCCCCTTCGATCCCGTTTTCCATATAGAGATTTGTGCCTTTCTCCCCTTATTAACACCCCGATAACTATAGTCTATTATATGTGTAGATTATGGAGAAGAATACACGTTACGTTATACCGTGGTCACAACGCGCGTTTTATAATCTTTACACGAAGAAAGCGTAATAAAATCGTTGCCGATATTTAGATTACCCGATACACCCTGAGAACGAAGCGACCAGATAATCTACAAAAACTATTGTGGGGGCCCTTGGATGGAAAATGAGGTGGGGACGATACGGGGCAATTGTTCGAGGGTGAAGCCGTAGGAAAGCAGCTCTTCCTCCGTGAATGGACTCCGACGTCGCTGCAGCTTCTTTCGATTGGTTTCGCTGGAATATGTCTGTTCAATAACAGTTCAAAAAACGTTTTGGAGCCCGTGTATCTCTTCTACTCACATCAACGTGTTCGCCATCCCTTCCACAGCTACCCGAATGTCAGCCTGCGGGCTGGGGAACCCGAATCCGGACGACAGGGCGGCTAAATGCATTTTAAAATTTTCGATCATTTTTAACCCACCAGAAGCAATTGGGATGAAGCGCAAGTTGAGATTGAAATGTTTTGTCGGTCGATTCGAGGGCGACACGCAGCAGGCGATCAATTTTGTTGGTGGCAACACCTAAAATTCCTTGAAAAAATTTTTAAAAAACCAACACCTGCTCAATCAGCCGCCCAACGACATGCTCTAAAATACGATGCGACGGCATATCCTGGCTGCCTAAATATGGATATAAGAGCGTTGCGTTGAAGCTTACTTGCTAATAGCTCCCAAACAATCTGATAAATATCGACCCCGAATGAGGTACGATGTGGTTCGGGCAATCTTTGGGTGTCGACGAGCAGGTTATCGAGATCGACTTCCGGGGGAGCGGCTACGGTGGACGCCTTCTTACGAATCACCTGAGCACGACCACCATCGTCCTCTCGACGAAGCACATCAAGGCGACTTTCTAGCTGAACGGACTGTTTATTTAACTTTCCAAAAACTGGGCAGCAATTCATGAAAATAAAAAATTTACCATCATTTGGCCACACAACAAATCATCCAAAATCGAGCACATCAATTCGGATTGGCCCTGTTGACGGAGGGTGGCGATGGCGCGACTCGTTCCAGCCAAATTGCAGCTACTTGTCGGGCTAAATGTTTGAAAAAATTTTTTGCTGAATTACTGTAAAATACGTAATCAATTACTTAACGGACATTAAGTTCTTTGAAAAAATACCGATTGTGGTCGGTGGTTGGTGGATAGACATCGTCGCCATCATACATTTCATCCGCAGCTGGCCCTTCTTCTTTCACGTTTCTCAACAACTTCTTGATTTCAGCCCTTTCCGCCTCGGGCACAAAGACCGAAAGCAGTTCCTCGATCTCTAAAATCAGTCGTCACATAAAAAAAAGAGATCCCAACGTTCTAGCGTCAGTCGATGTTTTTTGATGTAGGTAACTTTTTCCAGAATTGATGTCGATAGGTGGGCCAAGGGGGATGGTGTTTCTATAACGTTGCCATTAAAAAAAACGTGAAATCTTACCGGAAACGTCCATCTTGACGGGTTGCAGGCCAAATTGACTCTCAGGTCTGGGCCTTTTCGCGGCCATCACACAAGCGGCTGACGAATCCACCGGTAAACAAGCCGTTGTTTTGAAACAGTTAACGGAGAGGGGCCGGTCCAGCAGGACTAAACAAATTTTGTTGTGATGCTGCGGGAGGCGGTGGTGTGTAGTTTGTAGGGGGTGGATCCGCGCGCGGTCCAGCTGCGTTCCGGCTGGATATCTTGGGGACGGGGCACGATGCACGACTCGGAACGTTCTGAAAATAAAATAACATGTACAAAAGGGCCAGAAAAGGCTATTAGAACAAAAATGCACCATTGTGGCGGAACTAACAAGCTGTCAAAAAATTTTTGATTTCAATGAATTTCGCCGAATTTCTAGGGCATTACGGTACCTACCCAAAGTATGATTTAGCGGAATTCGCCACCGAAACCACTCCGAAGGCACGCCGGCCGTGATACCGATCAAGAACCTGTCGGAGGGCGCGGCGAGAAACGAAAGCCCTACAAAAGCGCTCCTTGAAGTTGTAGTGATGCCGGGAAGGGAAACTACCTTAACTAAAGCGTTGAGATTGGCATTTTCAGCAAGAGTTTAGTCTGGAGCAGCGCATACAGCAGCGTCGCGTAGCCGTTTTCCGTCGAAATTTTCCTAGTTTTATTTTATGTTATTTGAGTTTTCGTGTTTAAAAACCCATCCAAAAAGCATTCCGCGCAATTCCGCCTTACGAAATCCATCGTAACCACGTTTTCGGCTAAAGCGCCTTTTCGCAGTGTCAGACCGAGCCAAGATGTTCGCATTTTCTCGCTTTTTGCATTTTTTTGTGCACTGGTTTTCGCCTGGATTTTGTCTGTCCTGATTTTAGATTTTATGATGTTTTGTATATCCACTGCTTGAATTTCTTGTTCTTTTCGGTTATTTTCCTCCATTTTCGCTTTATTAAGGCCTTGTATCGCTTCGTATGGACTTAGATTGACCCTTAACTTAGCTTAGGATGCGCGTAGCTTAGCTTACCTCTTGGGCCTAGCTTTTGTGTCCAAATTTGCGTAGCTTTTGCGCTTTGCTTGCTCACCACCTTTGCTTGTCTTTGCTCTTGCTCGCTTCGAATTGCCTCTGGTTTTTGTTTTTTACCGTTTAGGTCGTATTTTGTTTGATATTTAGGTCTTTAATTTTCGAATAACTCGCGATTTGCTATTTTTAGTGCGTCGGATTTGTCATTTTCTGCTTCAGTTTCTTTGCGCTAAGGCTTTGTTTAGCTTCGTATTGGCGTAGCTCGGGCTTTGGCTTAGCTTAAGTGGCTTGGGTTTAGCTTTTGGGTAGACTTAACTAACGTAGCTTACCTCCCACTGCGTATAGCTTTGCCGTAGATCGACTTGGCGTCGTCTTAGTTTAATTTAGACTTCGCTTCACTCGGCCTCGACTTGGCTTAGTTTGGAAATGAGTATTGAGCGATATTACTCGCGATAAAATGACCGAAAAACATTTTTTCCGCCCGCACAACCTGAATGGAACCAGATATAAACATATAAATATAGTCTCTTTTGGACGTTTTTGGCTTTGAACTGGTGTATATACCTCATTTGACTATTATTTCTCGTTTTCCGATTCGAATTCTCAATTTTACCTTTTCCACTTTAGAACTCTTCATTTTCAGATGGAAGCGATGGATGAGGATACGCCGGCCTTCTTCTGGGACGCCGCCCGCTTCGTGGCCATCAACAAAGAGCTCTACACGTCGAAAAGCGAGGTTTTGTATTTGATTTTTTCTTTAATTTCCTTTTTTTTCCAGGCTCGGGCCGCCGAGGTGCTGGCGCATGTCGCCAACGTGGACATCGAGACCGTCGACCCGTAAGTTTTTCACTTTTCTCGCCTTCAATTCCATTTTAGGGAGGCCATCATCGACGCGAAGGACCTGATCCTGCTGGCCATGCGGACGATCGGCGCCGAAGGGCTGCTCGCGCGTCATCAGGTATCATTTTTTTGGGGTTTTTTTTGCTGGTTTTCTTGCGGTTTAAACCGAAATTGTTTTGTGGAAAAATTTTTGCTAACATTTACTACTTTTTCTAAGGATTTTGAAGTCTTTTTGCATTAATTAGGTTCTTTTTGGGTTTCAAAACCATAAAACTAACTGAAAAGCTAGAAAAAACTAACTTTTGTATTGTTTTTAGATGAAACAGGTTTTTATAGATTTTTCGTTGTTTTGCCAAAAGAAATTGTAGCATTTTCAACGTTTTGACGATTTATCTAACCCCTTCTTTTAGATGGAGCTTCTGAGCGCGTTGAGCAAGCTGCCGGCGGCGTTCGTCGACGTGATGGCCGCCTTCTTCGTCAACGCGCATGCGGCCCGCCAGATGCTCCCGCTCGGCGCGCTGGCCGTCGCGATCGCCTTCGCGCGCCGCGTCCAGGAGGAGGAGTGCGCGGAGAAGGTACTTTTATTTTTACATTTTCTTATCTCCCATTTTTTTAGATCGCGGAGTTGCTGGGCCCGATCGCGCAAGTGCCCGAGCTCCACCACGAAATGATGCGCCAGCTCGCCAACACGCGCAACGCCGAGCGCCGCTTCCGCGTGTATGAGGTATTTTCTAGTTTATAAAGTTAATTCCACCTTTTTTAGGTGCAACTCGCGGCCTGCCGTGCCTCCAACGTCTACCCAGCCATGGCCGAATACATGCAGCACATAATAAAGGTAATTTAAACCTTGGTTTTAATTTAATTTTACTTATAGGAACTCGAAGGCGACGACGTGCTCACGCAGCTCACCACCATGGACTTCCTCACGTCAATCGCAAGTACGTTTACGCTTTTTAAACTTGAATTTTCTCTTTTTAGTGACAGGGCCGCTGGGAGGCCGGCTCTTGAAGGAGTCCGATGCGTCGACCGTCGTCTACAAGCTGCTGCTCGCCTCCAAGGAGTCACCCGACGGCGGATTTGTGTATCCAGGTATTTTTATGACCTTTTTCTTACTTTATTTGATTTTAGGTTGCGTGCAGTACTTCGGGCAGCTCGGGCGCATCTCCCCCGACGAGTTGGGCGAGTACCCGGTGTTCCTCGACACCGTCGTGGATATGGTAACTTTTTCTCGTATTTTCTTATGGATTTTCGTTTCAGGTAGCCCATTTCGATCGTCTCGACCCGTCGCTTCGAGCCGCCGCCTTCGACACTCTGGCCAACATTGGCTACAGCGACAAGGGGAAGGCCGTCCTCGAGAAGCACACGGGTAAAGATTGAGTTTTTTTAGTCATTTTTCTTTTTAGGCGCCCCCCAATGCCAACGCCTCATCGAGCACTTTGCGGTGGCGGTCAGCAACGGGCCCGTGGATCTGCGTGTGCGCCATCTCGAAGCGTGGACCCTTCTCTTTGTGCAACACCCACCAAAAGGTAACAGTGAACATTCGGCCTTTTTTAGGTATTCTTTTTAGCCGACGAAGCCGTGGCGAAGCGCTGGTTTGAATGGCTTGGCCAGCCATTCACTCGGCTCTTCTTTGGATACCTTCAGGTAAATTTTACTGATTTTCGCTTTGATTCCCTCATTTTAGCAACCGTTCGAGAACATGAGACGTGCCGCGTTCACGGCCCTCCACGCCCTCATGGGCTTCGAGTTTGGCAAGGAGACGATGTTTGAAATGAATGGGTACGTTTATAATTTTATACTCTAAATTTCGAATTTGCAGTAATTTCAAAAGTTTTACTTTCACTTCTCCTATTTTAAACTTTCGTTTTCAGCTTCATCGATTGGCTGTGCAACCCGGGCACGGAGACGGTGTGGGAAATCTGCCAAGAGAAGGACGACCTCGTGCGCGCCCTCATCCAATCACCATCGCCCGCCGTCACCCCGGAGCTGCGCCAAAAGCTTACTGTAAGATTTTCGCAATTTTCTCTTTTAACTCCTCCTTTTTGGCGGTACTTCGTGAAGGAGAAGGCCGATCCGCAAGTGGCCATGGCGAACATCTGAAGGACAAGCCGAAGACCCGCCCCATACTTCCACGAATTCGGGTATTCGTCTCCATTTGTATCAATATCTATCTATTCCCCATTGTTTGTTTCTCATTTCTGACCCTCTAGCGTATCATCAATTCTTATCAATTGTCTTTTCTTTTCTCCAAAGTCGATCCTTATCCTTTTCGCCCGCATGATCTTTACCAATTGTTGTCAATAAATTCTGCAATTCATTTATTGTTGCACAAAATAATCTAAATCGCAAAAACAAGAACAAGTGCGAGAAGAAATCAACAACATAACAACGATGCGCATTCACGGAGGAAATTGGTCAAAACAATCGTCAATAAGAGGCTAGAGGAGAGTATAGTTGGAAAAGATAGGAAGTACAGCATAAAGAATTAAATGTAGAAGGAAAAGAAGCTAATATAAAGGGAGGACTGTTTAAGTGTATTTTATCTACTTTTCGGCCCACTTTGGTTGGGTATTTTTGGATGGAGAATTCGGCGTCACATGTCGACTTATTCTGATTTCCGAAACG